TTGGTAAAGAAAGCATATCGAAAATGACAAAGACGGTGTAGATGATGATAGCATTCAAAAAGATTAAAACTTCCATAAACATTTGGGATAGCTGTTGAAAAACTAATCACATCTGAAATATCACTTTTTGGGTGTTTTGATTTGTATTTCTTGTTTCTCGAGTTCTAAAGTCCTGTTTACACTTGCGATTTTTGCAGAGCGATTCTCGCGGCGATCGTCGCGCAACCATCGCCTGAGTTTCGAACATGCTTGAAAATGGGCTGCAACTTCAAGGCGATTTTCCATCGTCGCAACAATCGCAGGGCTGTTTACACGTACGAGTGGCTGCAATAATTGCAAGTGTAAACGGGCCTTTAGAAAATTAGATTTTTTCATTGATGTTATTGTGCTTTGATAGTTGCCAACAGAAACTGGATGCTCTCAAATGCAAATAGTTGCCTGAGAACGCAGTTCAGGAGGACTATGATGTTTTGAGGAACATTCGCAGTTTCCAAAGGCAACCATCACAGTAAAATACTCAAGATTTCAACTTAACTGTTTTTAATATTCAACAAACACAATTTTCTAAAGCTGTGGGATCTATGCGCTGATAGTATGCATCCGCGGCGGGAACGACTATCGTGTCACGTGTTCGACACTCCACCAATGAGAGCGGAGGAAAATTTGTTATTGAATTATAAACTGCACTGGTGTTTTTTGCACTGTATTTCACAGTTTGAGTCTTAGCTAGCACTGTACCAGTAATACTTACAATTCTGTTAAGTTTTTTAATGATGAAAGAGCAGACCACTTGATTTGCTGTCCACTATTGGATAAATTTCTAGAAAAAAAAATATGAAGAATCAATAATAGTAATTCAGCAATGCATCCTCGGAAACTTCACCTTAATCAACCCTTTTCCCAAATCATTAGGCCTTTTCTGAGATAGCATTTTACATTGCATTGTGGTCTAGATTCGGTACAAATATCTTTTGTTCAAGCTTCTAAATCGATGGTGTTGTTTGTACTGAAGCTAGACCACAATACACCATGAATTTGTAATTCAAAAAATATCTTTCCCTGGGTCTTTGAGGATGGCAACACTGGTGATTGCACTTCAGAGGATGACAGACGTAGTAGAAATAGCAAAGCTGTGACGTCATAATGCAATAGGTGAATTGCAATGATAATGATTGATAATAATGATAATGATAACAGTTTTATTGTTACAATACAAGGCCCTCTATAGACTGTAATTGTAGTCCTAGTTAAAACTCTCGCCCCGTTGAAACCCCGTTATTGGGGACACATTCCTAAAATCCCCGCTCTAAAGAAAWTACTTAAAATATTGCCTTGATTATATGAAAGCGCGGGCTGATTTCTTTTATTTTTTTCCTTGCCCTAGGGGTCACAAAGCAAATATACAGCCCGGTCAACCGGCTAGTCCGCTCACTTTACGCCTAACACTCGCTACTGCGGACTTCTAATTCCGGTACGCGAAGGTCTTCTTTATAACGAGAGTCGACTGTATATTGGTGCAACGGGTCACAGTACGCTTGACAGCGTGAGAAAATCATCTAYGACGCCAACCAGACTAACAGCACGAGCAGTCGACTCTCCAAACTGTCACGTTCACACTAAACTGTTTACTGGAACGATCTCGTAGCTTTTCGCCCGTTACCAATATCAAATTCAATTAATAGAACACCTGATCAAAGTATTGTCAGTTTCATTTAGCATTTGAATGGCTTTCTACATGTATAATTGAAATATTTGTTTTTGAACGGTCCAAAAGCTTGACCTACTYGATATGTAACGGAATCAAATAATAGAGTACTTAATCGAATTTCATTGTCAGTTTCAGATGAGCATTTGAATGGTTTCCCTRATAGAAGCCAATTAAGTGTCAGTTCCACTCGAGTTACCACGCGTATAAAACCACAAACAAAGTTAATTTATACACAGTAACATAGGATCAGATCGATTGTAGTTTTTATTGARAAAGTCTTAAATTCCATTTGTGATTAATCCTACAAAATTGTACATGTACATCGTAATTGCTATATCGGGATGTTCTAGAATATTACGCGTAATGCAACTTAATCCATCCAAAGCTGTTTTCAAGCCATTAAAACAACGCCCGTCTAGAAAASTCCTTGGTTTAATCAAGCCCACAGACTAAGCTATCAATTTAAGAACAGCATTCTAGCCAACTTCAGCTCATCGCATATAAGATTGGATCAGCTTTTTAGTTCATTCGAAATCAGCGGGAGAGGATCCCTGTAAATTGGTTTTATAACTTTCAATTGATKGTTGTCAGACAATYAATTTGCCCAATTAATAGTTAAAAAGATTATTTGGCCGACGGTAYAAGTGTATTTTTYATAYATATGCTTATTARAGGCCGCTAACGAATCGTGCAAATTATTAAAAATGCCTTTGTCTTCCATTGTTTATAGTACAATTTTGTGGAATTTTTAACTGTGCAGTTAAGCTTGTTAATGAGCTTAGATGCGCAGAAATTTATAATATAAGAGGTTGATATAATACAATTATTTCTATAAGTTGATAAATCAATATAAAACATACGGGGAAAAATTTGCATCAAATATTTTCATATTTTAGATGAAATTGTCTGTATATTTTATGAGCGAATTTGAAAAAGTAGTTGGCGGACAACAACATTGTTTACATAAAGGAAAACAAGCTGTCAAAATTTTTCAGATTTTAGATAGCACTTTATGATGTAGTCTATGTGAAAATCGGTATTTGTAAACAAAACACGCTTTAAGACTGTAACAGACTTCAAAACATTGAAAAAATTCTATTCAAACGACATGAAACAACTACAAGCTCACGATAAGATAGCAATCAAAACACACTCTAGGATTTATATTACAAGATTATAATTGATGTCGGAATTGACAAAACACTCCCACAAGTAACACAGAATTATGGCAAAACCTCAATAAAAAMCACATATGCTTTTCAAGACTTTTAAGATTATAATCGAAAAAGAATCGCCATTTTGGCAGATGGTATCTGGACCGYTTAAATATTATTTAAGTTGAGTAGTATCATGTTTATAAAAATCTCTAGTAGTTCTTCTATTGACATAGTTATCTTTCGAGATATTTGTGTCATTTGTCAAACTATAAAGTGTACAGTTTTATGTAAATTAAAGAGTCGAGATATTTTGATTCTGAAAAAAATATGGCGACCAATTTTAATTCAGCTTTGTACAGTACTACGTCGTTTATTCGCTGTAAGGCTCGTTAAACATGTTAAAAGGGGTCACTATTTCGTACTTCTACTCAGTATAAACATCAAAAAATGTTTACTGCTAGCTTCAAAAGTATTTATACCACATTCGCGTTCAAAATTGGAACATTCTTGGTTTTAATATTGCCCAATTATGAATAAGCTTGAAACGAAGCCTAAATAAGATGTAAATGACAATAAGAGACGAGATTCAAAACCGTGTTTGAGGTCACAACAGACTACCACAACATATCCTGTTGGGCGACTATTTCAACTTCCTTCGAACTTCAAAAAATCAAATTTTTGCAAATAATTGACTACACAACAACACGTGCCGTAATGTCTTTGTTGAAAAGCACGGGTTAAATGCGTAGAAAGCTATGTRAATTCAAATTTACTTACAATTTCGACGTTTCTGGCGGCCAGTCTTCCACGAAASCGCCTGCCGTTTGCTTGGAACAGTAAATTCCAAGAGTTTTATCTTCTAGAATAGTACATGTACAAGTTGAGGGGCATTTTTGAGCGTTGGAAACGGTACTCGCCAAGGTGGCACAGATGATAACAATGACAACAAGRCCGGCCATAGCTGTCGATAGCTCTCTATCCTCGTATTTTTTCCAATTCTGTGTTGTTTTTCGAACTTCTCTTTACGCTAACTCAACCATAGGACATCATGGTGCGTTTCCCCATGCCGAGAAAGTAAGGATATTCGAAGTATAGCAGCACACAACCTGCAAGTCACTCGCTTGGCTCGTTATACTAAGATCACGCAAATATAGCCAGGTGATTTACATAAAGGCACTAATTTATTCAAAGCCCAATTCACGCGTCTGTTTACGTCTGACACATGCCTTGGGATGACCTTTCGAAGAGCGTTGATTGATTATACACTATTCTATGGACTTTTTTATGGACTTCAAGCCCATGCAGAGAGATTAATTTGACAGCAAACAAAAATCTAGCTTCATTACGCGAATTTGGATTAAAATATCAATATTTGACGAGTCCATGTGACTATTCCAGCTGAATAGGTGTTGGGACTATCACCCAATCAAAGGCGTGAATTGTCATTAAGCCAATAAACACTGCAATGTTTATTTTTCATTAATTTTTTAATATTTTTAAAACAAGCTTGAGTTTGACAGAATCCAACGCGCTAGCCATCCATGTACAGTTTATAATCACTGGCCATACGAGTGTGATTATAAATAGTCGTGCCATACCATGAAGCAGGGTCAATTAGTTGGTAAGATAGCATCTGGTATAGGTGGACCGTTAGTCAACGGTGCGTGCCTACACAGTGAATCATACATATAGCTCTAAGTGCTAGTGTTCACATGACTGTCCCAAGCGCGTTTTGCCATTGTTCTAGTAACCCCAARGAATTTAACAACAAAGAAAAGACACGTTTTGGGACGATTTGGAAGATTATACAGGCACTAGGCATACCATTAAACTAATAAACCGTTACATATAGAGTACAAACCCTAAAGGTACAAAAAGTACTAACTTAATAGTGTTGATAGACGAGCAATATAGTGTCGATTGGACAACAGAAACAAAGGAATGCGCATATTTCATTACAATTCTGCTCTATTTATTACTAAAACTTTTCATGGATTCAGTGTTTGTACTTTGATCAGCTTATTAGCCCTGCGGGTGGTTCATATTGCCAAGTACCATAATTACGCTACAATGGCATCCTTAACAGCTCTCAGTAAACGATGAAAATGCAATTATAATGTCCAGATATAACTTTTTTATGCAATGCGAATGTAACTAGACTGNTCTGGGACAGTGAAACGGTATTTCTACGGTGTTATGAAAATATTACCCTGTCCAAGACACACAAAAAAATTATATCGGTCTCTTTTATCTAAATTGTAGAGCCTGTTTAAGACAATTTCGGGTGAAATGTATACCCTGTTTAAGACAGCAAGGCCAAAAACCATACCCTGGCCAGCGGCACGTCCCCGTATAGCAAATATATGGGAGTACCCCCCCCGGGGATCAGCTTATTAGCCCTGCGGGTGGTTCATATTGCCAAGTACCATAATTACGCTACAATGGCATCCTTAACAGCTCTCAGTAAACGATGAAAATGCAATTATAATGTCCAGATATAACTTTTTTATGCAATGCGAATGTAACTAGACTGWTTCTATAAGTCGTAGTTTTCCCTCCTCTGTTTTTCGGTTTGTCGCGAAACTAGCGACGGACGTGAGCGACAAACACTCTGACAGAGAGTGAACTGGGACCGACTTATGAAATCAGTCTAGAATGTACCCTGCTAACCTGCTGCGAATCACATGATTCTAGTTTCATGTTATGTCCAGATTTCAAGTCAACTTTGCATCAGAACTTTGGAGCGGAAATGTGGGCGGAGGCGTGGGTCTTGTTTTGGTGGATTTTATAGCACAAACACTTAGTTAAACCGGAAATGGCGGTAAACCAACCATTAAGACTGCCTTTAAGCACTTCGCCTCATGACAGAGACTCGAAATGTGTCAATCCAGGCAATCTGCAGACACTTGAAATCCGGGATCCAAGGCAATGGAAACATTTGGAATGAAAAAAAGGAATCCGGAATGTAATATGGATTTGCATTCTGAATCCAAAATGGTGGAATCCAGAACGCTTGGGAATTATTTTATGAAATTTGTAATCAAGGAGCTTGGAATCCGGAATCCAGGAACGATCCGGAAAACGGCTACTGCGAGGAATTTTAAATGTGTCATCGTTATACTTCATTTATTGAGCGTCCAAATACGTTAAAATATTACGTAACGAGCAAGGAAATTGCGCAGTTGGTTGTCGCGAAAGTGTGCATGCGCCCATACAGAACTTTGTGCTTGAGGAGTGATACACCTTAAAATTATGGCGGCAAATTAAGTTCATCACAAAATATATCTAACATTTAATAAAACTGTTAGACTTGGTATATAATATGTTAATATTTTCAACCATTATATTATTGTGCATTCTTTGTTCAAACACTTCTATACAAAGCCTAATAACAAACACTTATGGATTTTGTTCGGTATCTCTTTGAAATTTGTCAAAAGTTTCTATAGCTCGTTTTCAGTCATTCCCATGAGATTAAAAAGGCAAATATAATATATTTACATTAAGATAATTGCCCACCATTAATGTTGCTTCTTGCAACTATTTTTCATTATATTTCAACTTCTCTTTCACAGAGAAAAGCAAAATGAATTGTATATTTTCTCGGTAGGCCATGTTAAGTCATTTCTAGCGTTTTCGCCCTTGAACGCGACACAGAATACATGGATGTGGATGTGTTAGCGAAATGCATTATGGTATGGAAATAAGATGGCGGATATTTTGTAAAAACTACAAAAGATGAGAATTCTTTGCGAAATTAATGTTATCCGTCATATYGTTATCGAGAATGCTTTAGAGGAAAACAAGACAAGATACCGGCACAACAGAGTACATTCAAAGACCTGTTCTCTAGGAAATAATGCTTGTTGTTCACGGCAATACAGCCTGGCATACAAGCATGAATCAGTGCTACTTCCAATACCACAGTTTAGGTCAGACGTAACTCGAGTGCGACTAAAGATATACAAGCCACGCGGCGAGTTCCTTGATGACAAACACGAGTCGATTTTAAAGTGCTGGTCAGTTGGAATGTTCGTACGGGATTTGGCCATGCAGTTGATTGGTTGTCAAGTGGAATCGCGTGTGCATCACGTGATTATGTACATCCATATATYATTGTCAAAGCTTTTCTGTAATGACAAGAAAAGAGAACGAATTTAAATAATGTTCATTCGTCGTTCCTTGGTTTTGTGTTGCGAAAATGAGATTTATCCATTACATAGTTTATGTTGGACCATGAAAATATGAATTATGAATATGAATTCCACGACTCCGGAACTTTTCATGTGTGACATATTGAGCTCTTGGATCGCGCACGAGTGTGTCGCGCGGGRGTTGGGGTGTGTTTTAATGGCTCAGTCTCTCGTTGATCAAACAGCAGATACACGACGAGAGGTCTGGCAATCAAGTCAAAAAACACGTCCACAAATAAGATCTGAACTTTTGCTGCAGTAGACGTGGCAGAAAAGCAATGTCTGAAAATACAGTGTAAAACGATCATAGGTCCACTGCTCAGTGTGAAACGCCACACGTGCCTGGATAATTAAAATATGATGGCATGGTTTCCAGAGTTTTACGTGGGTCAAAAAAAATGTAATGGCAAGCATTTCCAGTGCCATGAGTTCAACTTATTTTATGTTTAGTGCATCCCGTAGTCTCTGACAAAAGACAATAAAATTCAAGATGGCGRACGCAWATGCAATAACGTYTTTTACGCGTGACTTGTYTGYTRCTTTYCTATCTTGCTGCGTGCAAATCTACCTACCTTTATGACTGTCTGTCTGTCTGTTATTACTTACTCAATACGTCGTCCCAAATCTTCACTCGTTTATATTCGTCTGGAAGCCATTTTTCTGGCCTGCTCAATAACCTGAAATCACAAGACAAGTATACGCTAGATCATTTGAAAAACAAAAGAAACGATCGCAAAGGTTGTCGGATGCACTTGGCTCTTTAGACGTGTCTGTGCTTGAGGGAAATGTCAATATCATTTTCTAATACAAATAACGTCGCWGTTCACACGAGCGMAGTTYATGTCGCAGTTCACACGAGCACTACTGCRTTTTCTTCAACGTACCCTGAACTGGAAGATGAACCGAACGACGCCATGCAGCTCTCAGATGCTCTTCTAGCAGGRGCCATTAAACCTCTAACAAAATAAAGAAAGGTACATTAGGATTGATACTGATCGATAGAAAGAAACTAGTATGTGTTTAMTCGGACATTTTTTTCTTTCTTTCTTCCTTTTTTTAAGCGGACACTCTCTGAAAGTAGCCTTCATTCTGCAGCTTAAACCAGGCAATTACTAGTGATGTTCTTGAGAGCTTCATCCTTACCCAATTCATCAATTACCCCTCCCCCCCCAAATAATAAATACGAGCCCAATTACAAACCTTTTGACAGTTTCCATGGATATATTAATTCCTTTTTCTTTGAACTTTGCATAAACTTCCTGACATTCCTCAGATGCTGCAACGTCTTCACTTCCCTGAAACGAAACAAATTATGATTTTTCATGAAAAAATAAAGAGGCACTCGCCTATGCCTCGACTTTCAAAGGCTCATGGGATGGGGCGGCAGAAATTTTTTTTTTCGGGGTTGGGGAGGTTGATACGGGATGTATATTTACAAATCATTTAAATATCCTGTCAATTGAATTTACATCGTATTTGCAGCATAATCAAATATTCACAGTATGTACGGCGACTAAACGTTTCACGATCCCTTTATGTGTTTCTGTTGCCGCCATATTGCCTATCATTTCTTTTTAGAACTAAACCTATCGTTGTTTCTTGAGTTACCTACCGGCCCCCAGACGAAACCCAAATCTGTTTGGTSGTTTTTTTCTTTGGTCTTTTTTGCTTTGGAATCTGAAAACGTCGAAGAGAAAAACACAAATRWGGATCTGATTGGACAGTCATTATCACGTGGGTCGTGTCAAACACATYACATTYCAARAATTGTTTGCTAAAAAACGCCCCCTCACCCAGCCCCACTTTATAATCGTGTCTCGGTCGCAGCAAGCACATACCGTATTTACAAATAATTATAAAAAGGTGATTTAAGAGAGTTTTTATTAAGAGTTGAATTAATAATTCCTATTATCAACACGAAAACTAAATCAATACATTAATGTCGATAAATAAACAAATATGTCGGAAGATTTTAGTGGAAAAACATTTAATGGAAAAAATATCTGTACAATTCTATGAGATGTAAAACGTTTATCTAGATCTCCTTCGTTTCTATTGTCGGGYTTCCTGTCCCTCAGGAAGCCCGACAAAAGGGAAGCCTGAGAAGTAGTCTACTTAGTCGTGAATCAATCGTTGAACATATTAGACCTATTACACTGTGACTACTGCACTCTGTTTCAAGTGTTTATGCAAMAGATTCGACATGAACGTTTAGCTTTACTGAATTCGTTAATCTCACAAGTGCACAAGKAAGAGAGAAACGCTTCGTGTTATCTGAGCATACATCAAAATATACAGCCGATCTTGAAAAGGTTGTTCACCCAAAAAGACAATATTCCAATTGTCACGTGTCTTCGTATACATATTCAGTTTCTGCACGTGGAACATTCTCTAATGTCAATATAAAATTTAAAAAATCCTTGTCGTTTCTCCTCGAAAACGCACCTGACATTCTATAGACCATTTTAAACGCGAAAGGAAAGTAACATTTTCATAAGTCACATGGCAATAGGCCTTTTCTGAGATTGCGTTGTGTTCTAGATTCGGTACAAACATCTCGGCATGCTGCCACATATGGCGTTGTCTGTACTGAGGCTAGAACACAATGCATCATGATTTTATATTTCCAGAAAAGGTCTATTAGAACATTGGAAAGCTCTTGTTAGGTTATCAACCTTTTCAAGATCGACTGATGGGCTCGTTTTCACTGTTCTACATTTTTGTTTTTATCATGCTAAAGGAAATTTAATCCACTGAGTAATCATCCTACGATGAATTAACCATCGACTGTATGGGTTCATTTTCACTGTTCTACATTGTTTTTATTATGCTAAAGGAAATTCAATCCACCAAGTAATTATCCACCGATGAATTAACCAATATGTAGGCGTAAATACATGCAAACCATGGTTCCGTGTTCCGGTCAGTTATGAGTTTCTCATAAAATTACCGGAGCAAAATCGCCTCTGGCTTCTTGGTCTATTATTACTGAACATGTTAAACCAGGAAGTCTTGGATTTTCAAATTGTCGTCACAGCATGCAGTAGCAAACATAAGGAAAGTTATATCTACACAGACGGGAAGTACTAACAAAACAACACGATCTAGCAGTAGTTAGCGTCAGTATTAAAGCATTTAATGAATGTAGGCCTACTGAGTCTAGTGATTCTATACTATCATTTCGAACACTATGAGGGCATTTCCTGAGAGAACATTTACAAATATACTCACGGCCTTGCGAACACTCTATAATCAACAGTATTTGCTGCTCAAAGGAAAAAAAACTGAAGATGACTTCCTTCAAAAGCAGTTATTATTACAGGTTTCATCTAAAACGAGGACCTGAATAAGCGGCTTTATTTGCCCGCGATTTTGTTTTCCTTTTGTTTTGTTTTGTTTCTTTGTTTGTTTTTGTTTTGGTATTATTTCTTTTTTTTGTCTGAACTCCAATAACCTGGATTTATGAATCAGCCTTTTTAATGATTGCAAACAACTAGTCCCGCAAAGCCGGCTGTCAACTTGAAAAAAAAAACATCATTAAATCATTTACAACTTCTTGGATTCCATAAACCCGTGAAACAAACTATAATAGTCACAGTGCAGTAATGCGTGAAACGATGCAAAATAAAGAGTGAAAAGTGTTTGTAAGTATTGTTGTAGTTGTTAAGTGCGTTGTAATCTTTTTGTRATTACAAGATATTGTAATATAATTTGAAAATTATTAAATAAAGATGTTAAAAAAGAGTAAAAAATGTATTATCAGTATAAGTATACTGCAATATATACAGCCTTTTGCAAAAATTATGAGAATTGTCAAAATATATAAATATCATAATATCGAGTGCATGATGGGTAATCCCACGCGATGTCCTTAGTCCCTTGTCTTTGCAGTTTAGTTTTTTTTGGCGACAGACTTATCCGTAGTTCTGAACATTTTCTCGATGTCAACAATGAATTATTCTAGCAAACCCGCGTGTTCCGGACAATATATGGATATGGATATTATGATATATAGATATCTAGACAATTCTCATAATTTTTGCAAAAGGCTGTACTACTATAAGTATGCTAAGGTGTACTTCACAGGTCTGATGGACTATAAATGMATTGTCCACTCCACCTCGTGGTCTAATTGTTTTAAAATCTTTAGTGACTCAATCACTTACACAATTTCTAGACGCTAATGTACAGTGATGACATTAAACCCGTGAAATAGATATTACTCTAACACGCCTTCATACGCTCTATTGATTGCATCGTTTTCTTTTGTGTCTTTTTGACTAGCACACTTAAATAGTCGAGTTTTGTTTCACGGCACTCTATCATTACATCGAATGCATCATGGGCAATTTTATGTGAATTTCGCTCTTTTCTCATGAAATAAGACTTCAAATGAATTAAATTCTTGRAAATTAACCTTGTGTATATCACTGGAAAAAATCGCGCGCTTTAAAGGTTGAAAATTTGATGTAAATATGATGTGAGAGTCCAAAATTCTGTAAATTTGATGTAAATGATTTCCATTAAATTTACAGAATTTTGGACACTTACATCATATTTACATCAAATTTACAACCTTTAAAGCGCGCGATTTTTTCCATTGTGTAGGGTCAGTCTTCAAAAATATCATCGCACTTTAATAGCAAAATAAAGATTAACTTATAATGTTAGCTACCAATATTATATCTTTATATAAGTTAGCGCCCACAATGTTTTCAAATCATATCATAYATATCTTACACTGTCTTTATTTCTAATTGTTTCGGTCTAAGTAAAAAGCATGTGTGGTTTGAAGAAGAATATCAATGACTATTGATGAATTATAAATGAGTAACGGAAGACAAGGTTAATAACTGACTAACGGGAAAAAGAATTACCTTAAATAATGAGAAAAAGGAAATATATGTATTAAAAATCAAAGAGTTATTAAAGTGAGGGGATTTTGGGATGAATTTGGTAATGAATTACAGAATGGATGAATGACTTTAARAACACATGGATGGTTGGATAAGGACATATATGATGCAGACTGGATGGATTACGAAAAGGCTGATTGAGGGATTAGTCAAATAGATGAATGAAGAAAATAAATATATGCCGGAACGAATCACTCAAGCAATCAAAATAAGAAAACAGAGAACCAACATACCCTTTTGATAAATATTAGCTATCGATATACAATAATCCCAAAAACTAGTCGAAAAATCATTAAAAAAAAACCGCTTCAACACCCAAAACAAAAAACAAAAAAAACAAACACCATATTAAACAAATGCAAAAAAGGAATTAACAAATTACTCTTTAAAAAGACACTCTTTCGCACACTAAACCAAACATATAGGTTTATCAACAAAGGAAGCACTCTCCCCTGCCAAGCCAAAACACCCACTGAAAYTCATTGGTCAACGAATTGAAGCTTCGTAACTAGCACACATGCGTGAGGTGGTCCTCATTAAGATATTGTCTGAAGGTTGGTCGCCACTGACAATGTTTAGAGCCTTATTACACAAAACTGCTTGGAGTATGGACGGTTCCTGCTGTTAGGGATTTTAACGAGAGGGGATTTCTATTGAAAAAAGGACAAAAAATACATCGAGGTAAGGGATTTTGTCCGTTTAAGCGTGACAATATAATGAAGTTTAGCCTGGCTAATATCATAACGTTTTAAAAAGGTGTAATTCTAAGGTGGGYAGAGTTTTAGTAATATTTGTTAAAAAAATCGAATGGTGGTAAAATGTAACGTTGTAAAGCTTTGAAATACCCAGCGAGAAGCCAGTTGGATGATGATTGTATTAAGATGATTCCTTGCATACGAGATTGAATGGCTTAAAACGCAAAGAGTGAAGCATTRCAGCAGATGTTATTGAGAGATGATCCCAATAAAAATACTCCCTAAATGTACTCTTAGGAAAACAAACATAAAAATGTTAGTCTGTTTTTAATGCCTGCATTCACACGTCTAGTGAACAGTCTGTTTGCACTAGGGATATTAAATGCGATGATCTTGTTAAAGCTATATAAACACRAATGTCTAACTATGTTTCAGAAACAAAAGCGCCTAATACATAGAGTATAACTGTTGAAAATTATTCCATTAYCTTCAAGTCGTGTTCGTTTCAAAACTAAGTACTGTGATTGTTTTAGAGATAAATTGCTTGATTTCGCAGCCAAATTATAGAAAAAAATTCGCTTAAACGCATGTATTGTATGTATAATTGACAAGTTCGTCTTTTACAACTTCCYTGAAATTGACCTGAATAATTGCTTTCAAGATAAATGGGTCGATTTTGTTAATGTAACATACATAYTGGAAATAGTCTAAAATATAACCGTTTTCGTAGCGTTGTATCGTTTTTGTATCGTTTTTAATTTCTTCGAAGGCACAATAAACAATAACAATACACTACAAAGGGGGCTTTAACTAAATTGCATAAAAAATATATTCGTTATAAGCCTTTTACGGTTGACTTCCTACTTWTACCTCGAAAGTGCAACACTTAAATGTATTTAAGATAGCTACAAAAACTTTTAAAAAAGTCACACATATGTTACAAAAACACGCTTAATYGAATACACAAGATATATTCACACATATATGCATTCGCATTTTAATATACGACCTAGTTTGATAACTGTCTTCCTTACAATGGATCAATACAATCACTTTACTTAGKGACTAGTTTGATTGAAAAAGCCGCATCAAAAAGGCCTGATCGGGAAGCTGCTAGAGAATAAACACGACGAGGTGATGAAGCCAACATTGTAACTATGGCTGAAAAGGCGTGTAAGATAATCGAAAAAGCAAAACAAAGTCAAAAACGCCGGTACCCCAAGGGGACTTTAGCTCAATATCACCAAAGACAGTCATTCCCAGCTGTTCAAACGCGCTCCGTTCGYCGAATGGAGTAGCTTTCGAGATTTTGAGGCGAATTTTTATCAGTTASCTATTCAGMCCACTAGATAAATACTKTCACTCAATAAATTTACTCGAGGGTGATTTTTAAGACATTTCGAGGCAAAAACAATTCTACAACCACCACCGCAGTGTTCTCTCGTTATATTTACCTTTGAAAGCTCAAGGATTTTGATAATTGGCTRAACCTCTTCTCTGTTAAAAGCTTCTATATTTATTTGTCCTTTATTTTCCTCGCAAGCTTARTTAATAAGCTGGTTTAGGTTACTCTTGTGCACGTATTGAAATTATCTTTTAAGTTGTTACAATTATTGAAGTGACATTTTGGTGGAATATGTAAYAAAAAGCACCCAATTTTTATCGATATGTAACTTAATTTTTCCATTGTTGTAACTAATTTRATAATTTGACCCTTTTAATTGTGGAGCAATTAAGAACATTTTGACTTGACAAATACTTAACTAAAAAGAAACACTAGTTTTTCTTGGAAATAATAATAAACATAACTGAAAAAAATTAGCTAAGATTCGAGTTGTTTTTACTGCGGCAAGTTTTCTTTTCGAAACTAAATACGATAACAGTCAAAAAATTAGTCTTTTTTTTCTTTTACCGGAAACTTAATTACTTTAAGAAATTACCAATAAACACCATTCGAGGAAATCCAATAGTCGAGTTGCAATCATATAGTCAAAAGAAAAGAAAATAATACAATTATCGATTTGTTAGTTCACCGAGTGCAGCGGTACTCGTTACCCGTAAAATACACATTACCATATACTACACTAAATTAATCTTTATTTTGCACGTTTTTGCTTCGTCTTTTCGCTGTTTCGCATTTTATTACACCTCGTTTCACGGTTTGAAACCCAATCTAAACTGCGTTAGTCGTATAACTGAAGAGTTCACGGATTTTATGTCGTCGCTTCAGTAAAATAGGCAAAATGTTTGAAAATGATTGAATATGATGTTCGAATCTTGATATTTCTACTTAACTTCACTTTAGTACACGATGTAAACATGATGTTAGTTCTGGGCTTTTCTATTGTAATCTAGATTCATAAAAATCAAGATTCGGGCCCATTGTAAATGAGATATCTTTTCCATGTAGAATTTGAACAAAAGAGTTAGCCTTATTGACTAGGGGGACCTTATCTCATGCAAGCAGGACCTRARYATATTTTTATGCAGTCTCATAYATTCAATAAAATTCTAGCATTCACTCCCCAGGTTTTATAGTTTATCTTTGTTTTCGACTCGGTGAGTTTTCTCATTTTTTAATTATTACATTTTATTTCAATTCTCATGTCGATGTTTGAATAAATTCTTARTTACAAATTGCCTCCTTGAGAAAAATACGTGCGCCTTTTATATCAAAAACCAATCTACTCACAATATCTCTATATTACTCCTTGTTGTCAAGGTAAATACGAATTCCCTAACCATCGTAGGTTCTTGCTTACATGCTCAAGATCAACCGAGAATAGGAGACTTCTCCCAAATCCAGTTTATCTCTTTAATTTACCAAATCATATTCACTAAAAAAAATCTTTGTGGATTCAACTAATGCGTTCAGGAAATACGTGAAGATTTATATTTGTACGGCGCCGCGAAGGCACTGTTAAGCTGGACTATTAACAAACTAGGAATTCGCTGTGTTTGCAGATGTTCCGTGAATGTGTTCAATGAGAAAGAGTATGCCGACTTTTGTAACTGTGTAATGGGAAGAAAACGAAGTTAATAACCTCAACATTTCCCGCTAAATTGCTGTGGTTTTGTGGAGAGATAGTGGAATATTTCTAAATAGAAACTGGGCATTCTTTTTACTCAAAACAAATGTGGAAAAAATGCAAAAATGAATGAAAAAGGGGAAATTGCAAGAAATCGAGTGGTTTCGCTAGACCACATATTAATTGTGCACGATAGAGTATAAGTTAGAAAACCCGTGAAATAGATAGTACACTAATATAATACTGTAATATTACAAGGGTTTAGAGTGAAGTCAATAAACCCGTGAATCARAACTAAGAMAACAATAGAATTAGAGCGTACCAAGGTGTATTTGTGTAATATCGATTTCACAGGTTTTTTGACTTCACTGTAGAGTGAAAAAAAAACAGACTAACCCAAAAGTGCCAAATAAGGCAATTAAGTGTAGCTAAGAAAATAGAAAACAAAGGAATTCRCTTAAAATTCAGTCGAATTTAGCAGAGTTTTTCATGATTTAARTGAATTCAGTCTAYACTTTAATTGGATTGTTTCCTTTTGTGTCTACTTCACTGGAGTGCATTCTAAAGCGTGTCTGCGCTCTAAAAGCGTGAAAAAGTACTAAACAAATGTATCGTTTCACGGGTTTAATGACTTAGCACTAATCAAACCACGAAGTGTCACAWTTCAGTCCCCATGTTTCATTCTCAAATATACCTCGCGCAAACGGGTGACGATCGATAAGAATCAAGATTTTGTTTAATACCAACACGTTGCCTTCGATAAGAGCAGAAATCAAAGGACGTTAAGCCAGTTTAAAATACCAAATCTAACAACGGCGTGCCGAATTCACTGCACAAAAATCTCCAATCTTTAATGATCGCTGTCATCTCATTTACAATGAAATCAGCACATGCAAAATTCAACGTTTGAAACGTGCCTTAAAAGGTCAAAATATTGTACATTTAGGTCAACCGTCGCACTTCATAGCGTCRATCCAAAAACTCAATTTGTTACTTAAGTTCATTGTGGTACCACTGCGCCTACCAAATTGTTCAGTCGAACTTACGTGAGTCAAACGTCGCAATTTACATMATTACAATTCAATGAAATGAATACGGGTTAAGTACGACGTTTGAGCCTGTTCTAAGAGTTTTGTTTTTGTGCATTTGACTGAAAACTTGAGCAAGCAGAAACTAAAACACCCTTAAAAAAATAAAGAATTCGGATTGAATTTTTGACCGCCGGTTTTGCGGCACTAAAACCTCTTAAAGTCTTGAAAGAAACAATAAATTGTCATATAGGAGCTCGATAGCAACAATAATCTTATTCACGAGGACTTAAAGAGGATTAATGTCATCACGTAGCCACATAAATAACCCATGGTTTGCTAACGAGCGTCAATTAGTTGAAGTATGGTAAAATACGTCATACTTTAGAATTCTGAGACCAAGAAATTGAGATAAGACCAACAAAACGCCACATGTTTAGTACATTTGAGGTTAGAGACGAACAAGGAACTATCCACTAAAGGTACTATAACGAATAGGCTAATTTTTTTAAGGAGATTTTCGTAATTCTACTGAGATTCGTTCATACTTYGTCGTTTCTAAATACGATTTGAGGAAGAATGCTATTTCATTATTATCATTATTGATGTCACCATCATCATTATCACTTTAGAATTTATCTCGTTTGTATCTGTTTATTTCTTTAAACATCTTTCCAATAGAGTGCAATCACTAAATACTTGAAAAAGTACTAGAATGAAGTAAAAAAACCGTGAAATAGAATGGCGGAATGAAAAAAGAAGGAAAATGCAAGAAAGCGATCAATAATGTTGGAGTAGTTTTGCTATACCACATAATTGTACACGATAGAGTAAAGTCGGAAAACCCGTGAAATAGATATTACACTAATACACCTTACTACACTCTAATTCCATTGTTTTCTTTTGTGTCTATTTGACAACYATACTTTAATAGTTAAGTTTTGTCTCACGGGTTTAATGACTTAACTCTACATCCATGAAATGGTTTTCAAACTGAATGCGGAAAATAAGCGCAAAATCATTGTCTTCAATTGTTTAATGTTTCACGACCGTTTTCCTATTTGAAATGAGTAAAATTGGCCTAAATTAATCGAGCTATTTCGGTACTGCAGCAATATCAACGCCTTGGGTGTTACGAAATAGATTACGTCATGTGAATKTATGCTCCTCTGTCTCGAGAGAAWGTTGGCCATATTGTTCGCTTTACGGGGTTGTCAATATAACGAACTAATATGTCGAGCTATTTTCGAACCTGAGAGTACATTTGAAAGCACGCATTTATCAATATCAAGTTATTTTTAACATAACTAAAAATTTCCTGGTATATCTCTCATTTGCATGTAATTATCATAAAAATGCGTTTTGCGAAACTGCTCTGTTCTCTGCAGCAAAGCATGATTGTAGTTCTAGTCCTCGCACTTTTTATAGTCTCTAAAATATCTCCTTAAAAGTCATTTTTTTCATTTTCTCTTTAAAAACGGTACAAAAACTATTTTTGCTTAGAAAAATTAAAAAATGGACTGTTCTAGCGGACATAAAAAAGTACGAGGACTACAACTACCATCTTCCTTTGCTGAACAAAATGGCGTCGCTGCACATTGCCTATTAAATCATTGCATCCATCTATTCATTAATTAATCCATTCATCTTTATTCGCTTCAGTTTGTAAAACAGACGACAAATAGACTGGACACAATGAATAACACGAACACAAGTGACACACGACGTACATCCGGGATATTTTGGTGCGCGGCTTTTACACTCGAAGCAACCTGCATCATCATCACAAACTCCTTCACCATAGCAACCTTCTACGTCAACAAACACTTGCGCAAGCGCAGTACATATCTTCTAATAAACCTATCCGTTGCTGATCTACTAGTGGGCATGCTCCCACTACCGCTGTACAGCTACTTCTTAGGTGTCGTGGTCGAATCACCGTCTGAACTGCCTTCACTCTACCACAGCATTGTGTACAGCATCTATCACTACCTCGATATCTTTACCGGCTTGGCTTCCATTACAAGTCTGGCGTTTATATCTCTTGAGCGCATGCGCGCTACMGTSTAYCCATTACGTCATCGTGGAACGCCRTTTCGTATCTACATCTGTGTTGTCATGACAATATGGCTGTTGACTGGATGTGTAGCGGCACTAGCTACATACTTTAACAGCCATTACGACAAGTACGCATTATATGCGGCATGGCTAGCGTTTTCCTTCCTSTTGACATCACTTCTCGTCATTATTACATCGTATAGTATTGTATTCGCTAACTTTAGAGCTTGTAAAGGCAGAAGTATCCGCGCCAGGCGCCCATTGGGCCACTTCAAAAACAAGAAACTTGCGAAAACGCTGTTCATCGTGTCAGCGGCTTCACTACTCACGTGGTCTCCGTTTGTGATAATAACGGGGATTCATTATTACAGCATAGCGCACTTCAGCGAAACTGTACTRTACGTAACGAAGCTACTACATTATATAAACTCATTAATAAACACACTCATTTATGCAAGAAGAATGCCTGAGTTTAGGGTCGCTCTTACGGAGCTTGTGTGTCGGTGTTCGCGGATAAAGTTTGGGAAAAAATACAAGAGCACAACTACGTCACTGTCTATGAGCAAYATTGGGAACCCTGTGTTGTTCGGACTACGTCATCAGGAGGAAAAKGGGTTATTGTTTGTGAACAATCGCCGATTGGTGCAATCATATTGACAGGCCTGAGAAAAAATATATATCGTGTATATGGAATAATTTATTTTGAAACCAAAGGGGTAGCCTTCAAATGAAAAAGAGTGCCAAGTCATATGTCAAAATTATTATAACTTTTTTTCGCTAACAAAAATTATTTTCCTGACATTGCAAAAAGATAAACAAGCTGAAAAAGTACACTTTTTTGGGTGTTGCCAGATTCTGCCTCGCTTTGGCGTGAAACCACAGGGCCCCCAAGTTATATGTGAATATTTTATAGCAATGTAGACATCTTYATGTACATACAAGTATACAAGCTATCAAAAACAGTTGTCCTTATTTGCCCACAATGCAATGCAAGATGAGTGCCCACAATGCATCACGAGTTSAGTGAGTACCCACAATGCCAATCGGCTCAAAATTGAYCAAGAMCTTGTAAATAATGTAAAACGGCTGCGTTGTATTTGTTTAAAATAAAGTATTTGAGCAACACAAATTCCCTACCCACCCTCCCCTCCCCCTTCTAATCGTCAACTGTATACAARTGAATTATATTTTCTGTGGTTATACTGCCTTACCTCTGGACGATGGTGGATGTGGAGGATAGTTTCGTCGTGTTTCTAAACCACTATAAACAAAAAAAATGCAACGGTTAAAGGACCATGATCCACCGGCATTCCTTGCGAGCTTTTGCTCATGTTTGAAAATATAAATACCTCGCAATATGTGCAAAAACTGATATCRTCCTTTTATCATAAATGGAGATATTGTAAGACTCGATTCAAAGACGGATGGAAACGGATTACGAATAGATATTTGAATTTACTTCATTTTCCAGGTATAAAAAAATCTTAAACGCGACCGCATTGAATGCTGGTTGTCCATGTCAGTTAAATTCTTGATCCTATCTCAAGGCACTTACGAAAACAGACTTAAGTAGGTAGGTTGGCCTGTTGGTTGGTTGGTACTAAGATAAAGATTGACTTGTTTGGCTATTAGTGCCAATACATCTCAGAAGCTTTTACGTCATGTACAGTATACGCAATGCATTGTAGGACATGTTTGGAACAAAAGATGGCGGATTTGTTTTGTTTTCTCTAGAAACTGACCCCACAATGCATTGGAAATCAAACAATGACGTAAAAGGTTCAGAAGTCTATTGGTAAGCAGGTTAGAGGGAACGTAAACCTCTTGGTTGGTAGATTGTTTCCTCAGAGAAGTAGATTGGTTGCTATACTACTCGTTGGTAAGTAGATATGTAGATTGGCTAGTGTGTCAGTAGATTATTCGAGTAATTGGTTGGTTTAAGTATTTTCAATAGTCTTCTTCACAGTTCTCTGCGGCATCTTTAAAGGTAGGTAGCCGTACCTTTGAATCGAAGCGAGACCACCGTTGAGCGTTCAATGATAGAAACTTTCTTTCACACCTACAGACAATTATTCACAGGTATCTATCATTGCACGCTCAACGGTCGTCTCGCTTTGATGAAATGGCAGGGCTACCTATCAAGATGGCGCAGGAAACCGAAGGCGAATATCACCTTGCTCTCTTGATGTGAGCTGATACTGGTCTCGGTCGTCGTCCACCTTCAGTCCCACTTCGCTTGAGCTGAAACACAAACCAAAAGGAAAGAAAAAATAATTATAAAATAATTAAAAGATATTGCAAAAGTTTTAATAATAGACTACATAAACCAAGCACAAGCCATTGCGTTATGAAGTAAAATAAATTTAAAAGTTTTTTTTTTTTTGAACGGATTTGATTGACATTTAATTAAGCAAAATTTGTTAAAAGAAAAATTAGAAAGATGGACGTCTAGATCATATCAAAATGCCATATAACAGTGTTTAATATGCTGATAACCATGGTAACGTCGGCAAGTGATGGCTTTTCGTAAGTAGTTTAATAGTATAGACAGTCTCTAAGGGCAATGRYACTGATATAGCAAACAGACTGTCCTGGAAAACCTTTTTCACAGGMAAACCTTTTTTTAGTGTTGCTAAAATCAACACTAAGCAATTTATGGTTGACTGAACAAAGAAAAAAACACACAAATCCAAATGAAAGGCTTAAGTTATAGACTGCAAAGCAAAGATTTTCGCTCTAAAAGCTTGAATTTGTTGACAAAGTGTAGGACAGTTTGAAAATACTGAATAGAACGAAAAATCAACTACTCTAACATAACTTTCTCTTTGCTCCGACGAAGGATTAACGTCCGAAACGTCAGTAAGTTATTTCAACTACTTTTTAACGATGTTAAATTTATCTTTTTACACAACTGTTTGTTTAGAAACATCGACGCAGCTCACACTAGTTAACCGCTAGTTTCCACAATTCCTACTCTAACTTAGATAGAGGAGATAGATTTAAAGAAGGAAATTTACACAGAACTGAATTAACTTTGGCGGTTCCTCCCCCTCCCCACCCCCCCAAAAAAAATATTTGTCGCAGCATAGACCGAAAGGGAGCATGGGAGGACAAATAATTACCCATGCACCCCTTCAGGACGAGCTCCAATGACGTAATCATCTTCAGCTCGACAAGGTTTTCCAATGAGGCGTTTGTAATTCAACAATAGTTATATAAGTACGTGCCAAACTTCTTGGAGCTCATATACATCATTAACGCCTGGTGGTAGATGTTTTCAATTGACGCTTCTTTCGGYTMTCGGTCTTGACAAGTAAAGAGTTGATAGACAATGCAGCGTTTGACAAGAAACGTAAAAGAGGTAATTAATACCAGTTTATCTACTAGACATCTACATGTTTTCACGTATTACTTCCAAATTAACACAACAAAAAGGATGGAAGAGAAGAGATTAGAATAGGAAAATATAGTATTTATGAGATGGGATATAATTGTATGAGGAAGTAGCTGATCCCTGAGATGGGATATATAATATCAAATMCAAGATTTTAGAACTTCAAAGTTATGCAAAAATTCTAAAAATTGAAAATTTTATTCAAAAATACATGCACGGATCGATGTAAAATGGAATTTGGATAGTCTACTTGGGGTAGCACTGAATTTTATTTCCTTTTTTCATTTTCTGTTTTCTTTTTTTATTGTTTAATTTGTATCGTTAGGAGATCTCTTATTGTCGTATTTACAAAATAACATTATTTTTATGCCAAAAATCGTACTTTTGCAAAAGCTTTTCTAAACGTAGTTCTCTTACCAGCCACACATCCTAAACCAGTGCGACTTGATATAGATATTGATCTATTCGAAGCACATGAGAACGGTTTTAGAGCGTAATTGCGGGTATTGCTAAGAACAGATGCTTTCAACTTGTCACGAAAATGTCCATGACAATAATAGCAGCCTCTTTAAGTGTAGCTTTTTTACGAGACGTCAAAACTAAGAATTAAATAATTTTCCAACGAATGTTTCATAARACCGTATGTATAGGGGAGTGAAACTGACTGCATCTATCTCTGAAATGCATTCGTGCTGTCCGCATTTTTATCGTTAACAAATTATTTATGCGTAATTTAGAGACCCATAATATATTAATCATGATATTGATGTATAARTTGCAATAATGGCGAATCTATATAAAAGAAATAGCTCCCATATATCATTTCGTTTTGGAATYGTTTTTTGTGAATATTAATAAAAAAGGAAATTAGAGATATTTTAATTCAGAAAAGAATASTTCAACCAGTGCTGTAAATTTTGCATTTTTAGCATTTTAAATTGGCTTTAAAAGATAAAATGAAGTGAAGATTCTATTCATTTGGGGATTAATTTATACTAACGGTCTTGAAAGGATTAGATGAACACTTGTCATGCAATTGCCTAGCAGCTGCAGGCTGCGCGACAACCTTGTTTACAAACTGACTAAGATCGAATGCATATAAATATATCACTAGCTCATTCAAGAGCACATCGAAAGCCAGTYCAGTGCAGGGAAGCCATTCAWCTGCAAGGAGGCCATTTAAGTGTCACAAAACTATTTACTAGAGCACTTCAGTTTTCTTGTTAATCATTTGCTGTGCGGGGAATCCAATCAAGTGCTYGAGGGCCTAAGAAGTAAAGACATAATACAGGAAAGGGCATTTTTGGATTATTGCAAAGAAGCCATTTCAATGCAAGGAAGCCACTTCAATGTAAGAAAGCCATTTCAATGTTGAAMAGCTATTTTTATGTAGGATAGCCATTAGACAACTAGTTTATTGGAGCTGTAAAAGAGTACATAACAACTGTTGTTTTAAGAAATAATCCGTGCTGATCGTGCACCGAAGGTAGGCTATATATAAAATTCCTATTTCATGAGAAATGTTGTAGTATAAACAATCATCATTTATCACAAAGATCTTAAAAACGTTGCCTTAAATCTAACRGTTAAGATCGCTCAAATTTGATCATTCAAAAATCAGTAAATAAGTTGAAGTTTAGCCGATCAAAAGCACCACAGCCCCAGCCACGCAAAACATAAGATTTGATTCMTTTTCCTTATTTGATTCCCGGATACACTTTCGAACAAGTACCACCCTCGTCTTAAGCGCAWGTTTAGYAAATAAAACATCGCATAAAGCMGCAATTTTGTGTAYGGAAACTAGATCTTGTAGGAGACAMGACTTTGTAAACATGTCCAGATGGATTGAACATAATGGGAAAGACAAAATTCGATCATGGTGTCCTGTTCTTAATTTGTTACAAATTCGACATCGGAAACATCGTTTGACGCTGAAATGTCAAAAAAGCATTCATAGAGAATACGACAATTAGAAGTTATAAGCTAAGTTTACTTTAAGTCGGAAATTGTTTGAAATGGYAATTTATCCGGAGGAGTTTTTCTAATGCATTTTGTTTTTTCACCAAAAAAATATATTACGCACAAAACTTGCTATGATTGGCCAATGGGGATGCCTTTTGAGAGAATTGCAAACATACGGCAATTTATAAAAGAAACTCCTTGCTGTGCTTTAACGAATTGTTAGTTACATATACAGAAAAGGTAGAATATTGGAGAGATGCCGATCCAATGAACGTCGTTTCGTGTTTTCTTTGAAAGCGAAGCAACACAATACCAAAAAACCTTGATCCTGTRCACGGGGAAAAATTCAACTTGCATAGCGCTTTGTAGCTGTGTTTATCAGAATCRCAAATRAATAATTAATAAATGTACAGATTATTTTAGATTATTTGATATGCATTAATGTTTTTACGACATTTTAATTATTTTTTTTATGACTGACCGATTATAATAACATATACTAGTCAAGTAGTTGGATGTGCAAGTTCACACTATTGGGAAAATTGCGGTAAAAATGATTGCAAACATTCAAAAAAACATTTTTCATTCCAAAAGGCTGCTAATTATAGAACCTATGCAAGCCATACAAGAGGATTTTGGAAAATTGCTTTTTTTTTGTAATATTCTCAAAAAAAACAGTTATGGTGAACACGTTATTGCAAAGACACTAACAAAAATATTTTCTCCTTTGAAAGGCCGCCCTTAATTTACAAGTCACTGTTGCGTGTTTGTGTATACTTCCACTTCAAAACGTAAGGGTGTTTTTGTGTAAATAATGCAGTGGATTTGGCATTTATGCCACTCTGAGAGCAGGGCCACTTCTCTCCCTGCTTTGAAAAGTGGTCTAGTGCATTCATCTAAAATACATTATTATAAAGGTGTAAATAGAATCACTTAGGAGGGAGAGTTCAAACGGTAGAAAAGTGAGGGAGAGCAGGTGGCTTAGGGTAGTAAAAGAAAGAGAGGATTATCCATATATTTGAGTGATATTTTGTGATCATCGGTAATTTGGGATCAGTGATATTTCCGTTGTGATCAGCTATTTTTTTAGGATCATTATTTTGGGGATTAGGAATCAGCGATATTTTTGGATAAAGAATATTTTGGGATGTTGGTTTGTGTTTCTTTTTTCTTTTTTTTTTTGTTTTGAGGGGGTGGGGATCCACATTTTTCGTGGATTGGCCGGTATCAGGGGATCAAAATTCAATGCAATACAATCCGATCCGTCCTCAGTAGCCTCTTAGGAAGAAGTTTCTAGGTTGTCGAGATGAAAATTTCTGTCCAACTCGATACCAGTACCGTTTTCAGTAGCTTCTAGCACAGAGGTTTCTGGTGAAGAGATAAGAAACGCTGGAAACGCTACCAATACGTAGCTATCCGAGTGGACGATCGCATATGCCATTTTTTAAAAGCGTTSATGTCAAGTCACTGATCGCAACCAGGCTTTTCCGATGACATTTGAAAAAAAAGCGAAAGAAAGAAAAAAAAACGATGATGAACAAAGCACTATGCCATGATCAAGCAATTATTTCAAACCCATATTATAACGACGGTATTAATCAAGGAAATTAAAGCATTAAAGCATTAGAGAGTCTTTAATCCTTARGGGCAAAATACCCAACACGACATGATATCACTGACTAATTGGGTCTCTAATTTACTTCTATTCTTGTGCCAAACAATTACAAAACATTGCATAGAATAGACATCTGTGGACTTTAGGAGTTTATGAAAGGTTTTTTTTCCCGACGTTTAGATAGTAATTGATAGTAATCTAAGTGTCAGTTTTTAGTCCCTTAATTTGACCACGTATGACCACACAGCGAGATATAAACTTAAAAGATAACCGCTTTTTTAACTTGCAGGTCATTTCATATAGAAGAGGCATAGATAGGATCTAGTTTAAATGCTGGTAGCTTTGAAGCAGAAAGTAGATCGTTTTTATCTAAATWATGCTCTTGGGTATGCAGGGATTCTTCTGGTAAAGTCTAAACGAAGTGGAGAGCCATTCTGAGTACTGAAGGATCTGCTGTTATTCAAAGGAAGACTCTCGCGACAAGAAACGTTCAGAAGGAAGTTTAGCATGAGTAAAGAATAARAAAAGACTTGAATTTATTCAAAGGAGAAATAACACTAATAACACTAAGAAAGCTCTACTCAACAGTGACRCCAAATAAAGTGGAGAACGACATCGAGTAGTGAGAGTTTTGGTGTTATTGAAAGGAAGCTCCTCGCGACACTGTAAAATTCAGGAAATAAAAACTTGAATTGATTCAAAGGAAAAAATAACAGTTATAAAGCTCTACAACAGCTCTACAAAAGTAAGAAAAAATCAAGGCCAACAACGAATGAATACAAGCAATGACAAGAAGCACATGACSTAGAAGAAACAGTACTAACTATAAAAGCGAAGTATTTCTTCACCGAAGGTAAAGCGAACGTTGATAAACAAACAAACAAAAGAAGAAAAGTACAGAATACAATGAAACGTCGTTGAAGTACAGAAAATATAATTTGTACACAAGTTTAGAATGTAGCAAATACCGGATATTTTAAATCTTCAAATTACTAACGGAATAAAGCTGTATAGAAATTGTGAAGAAAGAAAAAAACAAAAACAGCTTTATAAACAAGAAATTCGACAATTGCACACAAGATTTGAAGAGCGGGAAAATACTGAAACGACACAAATCAGATGAACACAATAAAGWGCAAAAGAAAATTTGAAAAGAAAACTAAARCTAAGAGAAACYTCAAGCCAAATAAAGCTACAGAAAGARGAACGAGCTYAAAAGCACTCAAAATAAACAAGATTTGCAAGTMAACGGATATGATAAAAGTAAACAAGAAATACAATATAATACAAACTGAAAAGAACAGCCAAACATGAACCGTTGAGCCTAAAAAGACTTAATACCCTAAAGGAAGGGAAAACCATCATAACACGTCATCAAAGTTAACCAGAAAAAGATAAGAACTATTTYTATTACGTAAGTATAAGGTAAACATATAAAATAAAGATTAAAAGATCAGGAAAAGTGAAATTTAACAAGAGAAACGGAAAAGGAAAAGACTGAATTCAAGGTAAAACTATTGGTAACAAAACATTAAAATTGATTATGAATTACTAAAGTGTTTAAAAGAAGTAAAAGAAACAACGTATTAGTTAATTAGACAGTTAAATGAAACCCCGAGGAGATACTCCAGTAATTGCATAAAACAAGGCTTCGAGTCATAGTCAAATAGAAATAAAACAACCACAACAACTTAAGAAACGTATCCCAAGGATACTATAAAAACAAGAGATAACATTGAAAGAGCGACCCACAAAGATTAGAGGAGATTACACCAAATAACCATTTGAAATTGGAAAATCAAAAAATTGGAAATTGGKAAAGGAAATAACGACAACTTAATAAACAAAGAAGTACAAAGGATGCTATAAAAACAAAAAAAAAAACAAATCAAAACAACGATCAAAGGAGATGTAAGGTTACACCAAGTAAACCATTAGAAATTGGAGAAGAAATAACATTGTTTCCACTCAGAATTCAAGTTACCAAGACCCTAAACTTCCATTACGTAATCTTCAAATTCACTTTGCCATCAACTTAAACTGCACCGGACATAGATAAGAAGTACATGGATTGCGGAGAGGAACGTGCGCACTTCACACTTAAAGATAACTAGCCGTCTTGGTGACGTTTGTATTTACGTAATCTTCCGCGTATTTACGCTAGAGATAACTTATTTATAACGCGTAGCACAAGAGGATATYCAGTGTCATATTAAGTGAAAATGTCTGATTTATTCGTCCCTGATGTTCTGTATATTGTGGTTAATGTAATATTCGGTTTCTTCACCATAGTAACGAATGGTTTAATACTTGTGACGGTGTACAAAACCCCAAGTTTACAATATCCATCTAACTACTTCATTTGCTCGCTTGCTGCAAACGATATCGTCGTRGGGTTGTTTATAAACTCTATCAACGCTTTGATATATGGTCTTAGACTATGGAAAACCGACCACACTTTAATCAAGATGGAGCAGTTCTTCTACATTCAAACTGTCGTCTGTTCAGCGTTAAATCTTTGCGTAATAAGCATTGATCGTTACGTTGCCGTAAGCAAGCCGTTACGGTACCCTTCCGTTATGACAGATCAAAAATCCTTCAGAATAATATCATTTATATGGTGTTTGTCGATAATATGGGGYCTACCAGCTGCCTTCCTGGATGTCAAAACTGGATTATTCACTTTATGGGCGGTCGTTCTTGTAGGCGGTTATCTTGTACCTCTTGCGGTGATAGTTTTCTCTTACGTAAGCATCATGCGTATTGCGCACTATCAACAGAGTCGCATTGCTGCGTCTTTTCGCATGGCGAGAACGTTCGCGGAGAATCAGTACACTAACGTAACCGTACAAAACAGACGTAGTCAACGCGCAGCGACAACGTTTGCTTTGATAACTCTAGTGTTTGTTGTTACGTTTACGCCGGATCTYGTYATTACGGTTTGGTACGCAATTCATGGTGCGCACAAAGGGAACCACAGAGATGYRCTGCTTATGTGGTTGAGCTTTTTACTGTACACAAGTTCTGCTATCAATCCAGTGATTTATGGATTTAGGAACACAGAACTGAGGATTGCAGCCAAGAAAGTTGTCTTTAATAGAGATACTTGATATCTAGGAATTATGACACAGGATTCGGAACCCTACGGGACGGATTGTTAGGTGGCCAAACACCTTCAAACTCCATCCAACATGTTTGCTGCTTCATCCAACAACATCAAACAATAAAACGCTGTGCCGAACAAAGTTTTTCGGTACCGGGTGTTTGGAAGTCCAGGATTTCTCGTTGACTGTTTTTTACATTCCAGGGCTGGCTTGTTCGAAGCTCGATTAGCGTTAACCCAGGGTTGACTCCATTCTTCCCGGGGGGTGGACTCCCTAATATCAAAGGGCGGGGGTCCTCGGCGGAGATTGTGAAAATGACCCCTAAAAGGGACCTCTATTGTGAGATGATGGGCGTGGCAGTGCTGAAATATCAACCCTAAAAGGGACCAATCAATAACAGGTCATTTTGTTTTGGTTTACCGATTWTATTTGTGTTTTTACACAATCATCGAACACCGTCGGCTCGTATTGACTGTTTTTGACGACGTTGCCATTTTATGACTGCTTAGGGTCGCCGTATACCCTAAAAGGGACCACAAAACTCAGTTGGTAGGAATTCTTGTCATGATCACCCTAAGCGGGACCAAAATACTGATTTCAAACCCTAAAAGGGACGCCGAGGACCCCCACCCTTTGATATTAGGGAGTCCCCCCCCACCGGGGTTTTCTTATAGTTAACCCAGGATTTGCACTAATAGAGCTTTGAACAAGCCAACCCAGGAGGAAAATACCAATAAGCCAATGCGCCCTTTTCCCGTTTAAAGCGAGCAACAACTGTTTTAGTTAACAACCTGAGTACAAATAACTTTCCAAAAAAAAAAAAATAATAAATAAAAAAATGTCGTCATTACAGTATTTCTGGATATCTGCATTTTCACGATTTGAGGCTAAGCCTGTATTTTCAGAAGGCTCAAACTCTAGGTCTTGTGGAAATACAGACTTAGCCTCAATTCAGAGAAGATTCAAATTTCTAGATCTATTGTATTCATTTTTTCGTGCTTTCTTTCGTTTTTGGTGAGATCTCTACGCAAGTGAGTCTGTTTACTACTAAAACAGCAGTCGCTCGCATTAAACGTGAAAAAGGCTTATTAATTAAAAATAAGAGAAAAAAATTTATGTACTATATATACATCTACATTATAAAGGCTTCCCCTATATTCCTTACATGTAAATATCTACTTTTAAAACATTATACCCCAAAAATGGTCATTTCTAAAACATACGTCAATCGAAAYATCCCGGATGGAGATTTTTATAGTGACTTATACGCCGCCATATTGGATGAACGAAAACATGTTTACGTATACGTAATAAACGATAAGATTTCTCAAAGATATTTTGACGGAAGAGAAAYAATATATTGTTATGCAATCATTTTAATGTATATTTAAAACATAAACATTTTAATAAAATCCCGATAAAAATCTKCTTCTTACAATAATATTCTTTTAAAATTCACGGGAAATAAGCTTATATTTCATGAGATGAATTTTCCGCGACGTTTTCTACACTAGATAATCTTTCGCTCAACGCTCGTTCGATAATACCCTGAAGGCTTTTACAATCTTTACGTGAAATCCCTGCTGTTTGTGTGAAGCGTATCTCGAAAAATCACCGCTAGTAATCCCCCAATGTGACATCTGTTTAATCTACAACCGCTCTCGACTTTAAAAGGCAAAGTTCATTTAATCATTTTCTTTTCTTTCTTTTTTTTTTCTTTTCTTTAATAAAATATTCAGCAGTCCGGCCCAAACGGACAAATATAATAACGTAATATATAGAGGATATTGCACGATGGCACGAAGATATGAATTTTATTTTCGAGTAGTGAAAACAATATTTTACGACGGAGAGCAGCGAATAAATGAAATGATTATTTACTGAGAGATGCAATCGGTAAGATATAATAAATAAATCAAGAAGCAGAAGAACGTTCGAGGATCAACGGGAATCAAGCCCAGGTTTTCCGTAATCGGTATTATTAATCATCGTGGTCAAGGGTTCGAATCTCATTTCTATCACTTAAATTGCGTATTTTACATAGACGAACGATCATTTATTAACGTGCTATCTCATAAGTTCATACCATTATCTCACATATCAGTACCACTAGGCTATATAGAAATCTAAGGCTTTTAGAATTCAAATCCAAAGAATCTCACGCAAATCACTTCGTCCTTTTTCAACACAATGAACAAATTTTTAGACCGACTGCATGTCAAAGTACAATTGAAGAGCTCATTTAAGGATGTACTGAACCTTCTGGTGGCCAATCCAAGTTTCCGTCATAAATTAGACAGTCATTCATTAATAACTTCAATAAATCACGCGAAAATGTAGAGTGGACCCTCAAGTGGGACTTTCCGGACTAACTTCCATACACAAGATCCATCGATCAAAGTTACCACCCTAAAAACGGATTCTTCTCACACAAATTAATTCCGATTTTAAGGCGGTGACATCATAAAAAACTATGTTGGAAAGATGAATCTGGAGTGGTATTTTCAGGGTCACACGATCCATCGATCGAAAGCTATTCCATAAGCGTCCTCATAACTTGCAAATTCCAATTTTAAGGACTTAAAATATCGGCGGCGTCGAACAGAGGGCGTCGAACGAAATGTAAGTTGGAATTGGCGGATTYTTAAGTATAGAATAAAATAGGATCGTGTTCGTGACTTCCCATATCTAAAGCAACTTTGCTTTGGGCTGGTTTTCACAAAACAGGACTAAACCTGATGATTATCGCGCAACTTCTTTTCCCAAATTATAATCTAATGGAAATAATGTAGGGGTTTTTGTGACAACAAAATGAATGGCAGTCTTTATGATATTTCACTAGAAACTTGAAAGAGGATTTAAAAAGCATAACAGTCTTTAGACTCTGCGGATGAGTTGCATTGGGTCCATTGGTCTGTTAACACGTGAATCATTTTATATTTACACTTTCAAAATTCCAATTTAAAGACACATTATGCACGGTCAGCAGTCACCGAGCATGTCCATAAGGCTGAGTAAACGTCAAGAGCATAGATCATAGACATAAGTGGCCTCATTTCTAGGCTACTCTTCATCAGCTCCAATCCAAGATGGTGGACGCTTTTTAATGAGTTCTCAGGGGAGAGACGAAATGAAAAGTGACGTCAAGCTAAATGGACGTAAGAAGCCTGGGGGCGAAACTAAGACATAAGCACGTGCATCTTCAAGGCCATTTAGATTCGACTCCTTAGTTAATACGAATAGGGATATCAAAGTTGGGGAAAGAGAGCATGYGCARCCAATGACAAATAATCTGATAAGCAGTGTATAACACCATATCATGATTGACGGCTGTCAATTATCAGACCAATATAATGAAGTATCGTTTAATCTTCTTCTTATTCCGCGACATATTTTGATTTTATCATTGAAAAATTTGATGATAGAATTATCTGAGTTTTTCCAGTCAATAATTATAGATTAAAAAGATTAKAGGCTGTCCTAAATGCTCTTTTTTGACATTTTAGTCRATTCTCAAATTACTATAGGCTTCAAGACAACGTTTCTTCGATTAAAAATGCAGTCAATCCCATTAGCGCTGTTCWGTTGACAACAACAAAGTCATTTGTATAAATCATATYTKTATGTTTTGTACGATTATTCAATCACAAGTTCCAAAARTCCTTCGCAAGATAGGCGAGTAAAGTYATCCTTTAGCAGCATGATTGTGATGAAGAAAATACATACAAATGTAGCCAGGGTTTCTGTGATGGAATAAATATATTCTAGGAATCCAAGCTTTTCCTGTACTACAGCATCGTTTGCTGTGCTACAGCATCGTCAAAGAAACGATACTGTAGTACAAGGAAAGCTTGGATTCCTAGAATAYATTTATTCCATTACACTGAGCAGCCCTGGCTTCATTTGTATGTATTTTCCTTCACAAAGTTTGAAAAAACACATTTTATAACTTTTTTGTCTTTATTAACCTGCGAACARAGTGTATTTTCTTAAGGAAATAAGGGTTTGTCTTTATGTGTTTACAAGTGAACAATGTTAATGAGATTGACTGTATCTCTATAATTATGTATTAAGACGGTATGTCTAGAAACTCCAGCCGACCAGTTGTTTTGACATAGTCTTGGAAAAAAACCAAGTTCCTTGTTTTTTCTTTCCTTTTTTTATTTTCTTTCTTTCTTTCCTTTCTTTTCGTTCTTTATTATTTCAAATCTAGTTGAACTTTCTTTCTTTACATTAATTAATCCATCCTTATCAGCATTCATCTCGTAATAAGTGATCACTTGCCTAAGATAATGCAACCGGTGAGGGCGGTAGTCACCGTCTACATACACAGATAAACGTGTTATAGATAATAATAGCTGACATAATCGACAGGTGTCACGTRTGGCAGTAAATCTCCAAGTCTAATGACCATTTTTACTACTATTTAAACACTCCTCGACTTACTGCTAACTGATACTAACCGATGTGAATATTGATGTCATTTATATCGTCATTGGAAATATGAACTGTACGGTGGTTTTACCMGAGAAGTTAAGTTTAGAGAAGAAAACGTGTTACATTCTMRTCAGCATYATAATCGGWGTGATTGCAGTTTTTGGGAATAGTCTTTTATTATTGGCCGTAGTGAAAACGCAAAGATTGCGCACAGTATCAAACTATTTYATATGCTCGCTTGCTATGGCTGACTTCCTTGTGGGATTTCTAGTGGTGCCGCTTAATACCTTACGGGTACTTTTACCTGTAGCAACTACTTCCACTATCAGCGAATTGTTATGTCTTCARACYTTAGTGGCAACAACGATGARYYTAGCARCGGTRAGCATCGATAGGTATATCGCKGTGGTAAAGCCTTTACATTACACAGTTTACCTAAGTGAGCGAGTGACGCGAGTTGCTATTTCGATAATTTGGGTATCTTCGACTCTATTTGCTTCAACAAGTTTATTTATCAAAGGAGAAGATCGCACGATGTTTTGGCTGGCGGCGACTATGATAACGCTTTTTATTCCCTTAGGAATCATATTTTAYTGYTATGAAAAGATTAGAAAAGTCTCTAGAAGTCACAGAATCGACTCGGCGCGAAATGGACTCGGCCGTCCCACTTCTGACACCATGCTTCGCCATATCAAGAACCACAAAGCGTCCGTGACGTTTTTTATTATCACTGCAGTATTTCTGGTTTCCTATGCACCGWGTTTTATTAGTAATATATATTATGCTATYTTGTCTAAGCCGTGTGKCCGCTTGCCTGAATACTTACTATGGRCTAATYTAGTGATGTTCCTGAGTTCTGCGTTAAACCCGGTAATCTATGGAGCCAGAAGTAGAGACTACAGAATGGCTTTTAAGAGGTTGATGTATTGAACAAAAGAGCTCTCACAATCKCSAAAAAGAAACCAATTATGACAAGGAGTAGTGTTGAAACTAGAATAGCTTYTCAAAAGATTAAATGAATACGTTTTTCGATTTATGACTAAAAACAGTAATATGTGAAATACATTTATAACAAATTTAACAGTAAAATTGGTCTAGTCACGTAAAAAAAAATAATGTCATGTAAAAAAAGCTAGCACAATAAACAGGACTATTTATCCTACAGACTATTAACTTTCTTTAATGAAAATAAAGTTGTTCCTACCGATAATGAAAACTAAAGTAGTGACATAGAAAACAAAAATTATTGAACAGAAAAGACTATTTTTCATTATAGAAATGTAAAGAAAGTTGGTCTAGCCGCTCGAAAACAAAACTAATGCAAAACATGTTGTAAAAAAAAGATCTATTAAACAACAACACTGTCCTATAAAGATAAAAACCCTGAAATTTAATAATTGATTGTAAGTAAAAACAATTGCACATCCTTCAAAATAGCTAATAGGTTCGAGCAAAAATTCATTAATTTTTTTCGCTGTTTACACAAGGTATGTATATAACTTACACAAAATGRAAAATTAGCACAATTTGGATGTCGGACATCAAGTGGGAATAGATATTTCATTTCGATTTTGATTAATTCAGACTCGAACCTTACAATATATAACTATTATAATAATAATAACGTATTTTGCTAAGAAACGAATAGATTTGAACAAAAATTCATTTATCTTTTCGTAGAGAGAAGGAAACTTCAACTAGCTTTGACAAGGACTTGGAAATACGACGAGTCCCCCTATAGGATACTTATTTTTTTTTAAACCCCAAAGTTTTTTTCCCCTATCTCGTAATCGACCTTTGTTTCAAGTAATTTTTTTTTCATAGTTAATCCACAGCATGTGTAGAACCATATGTCATAAATTGAACACTCACTCACGCTGATTCGTTGAATAAATGCAATGGAAACAAGCAATAAACGAATTCCAGGCTCAAATCATGATCAGAACTTATAGCAATTAAGAGAGAGTKACCTGATGGCTGACAATTTCAGTCTAAATTTAGTGTTAAACACTTTCAACTGAAACCTAAGAAGCTGACATGTACAACATATGGTTGCGCCTTTTTGACATTTTGTCACTTTTAAGGTAACGTCATTTACAAATCTATCTTGTAAATGCCGGCTTTTTAAAACTAAATTTAAAATTAAATCCAACTGGTTTTTGCGTTAATTCTYGACTCCTTGGCGGCCCAACGAATACAACCAATAAACAATAAAAAATTATTCGAGGGTAATTTTTTTTTAATCTACATTGACTTACGTTTCTCTAGTAATTGCTTTTGCAATGACATTCCTTTTCGGAAGCAATAAACTTAAACCGAAGAGCGAAAACTAACGCAAGGAAGTTTTTAATCATTTCGACGTTTCGACGCTATTTAGATTACAAACAAAGCCACATTTATATTGATTAAAATCAATATACTTAACCTTCCTCGTTTTCAGCCCCTTTTCCATCCCACGGTCAAACGAAGGAGAAAGGGCTTAGGAACGAAGTTGACTGAAMCAGGCAACAATCGAGATTACAGGAAACGTTTATCTTAGATCAATGTTATCATTGCAACAGAAAGGCTCAGTGGATAGCGCACCGAATGTAGAGAAGAACTGCCACGAATCGACCGTAATCAATCTCGTACTCAGAGCCCTCACTTTTTCCATCCAGCGGATGTCAATGTGAAAGACCGCTGACATTAGCCGTGAAGACTCTAAGCTCTAAGACTCTAAGGAATCGGATCAAAATGACTCCTTTTTGAAGACGGCATGTATAAACGAATACATTTCATATATTAGCATTACAAAAAAAGTTATCATTTTCACAAATGAAGTAAGAGTAGACGAAGAGACAAAAGTAAGCAGAACTTTAGCCTCCTCCGCAGCCGTACTCTTTTCCTTTTTAAAAATAACGGGCTCCCTGTGTTAGATCAGTACCTTTTTTTCCACAGGGAACCCGAGATACATGAAACTGGAAAAGCGAGATTTCTGGAAAAGAGGCTAGCAAACCGAATGTTTTCATATGTTATTCTCCTTCCTTCTTTTATTTATTTCATGGTGAGTTTAGAATTGGTACCTGAGATGCTGTGCTCTGTCTTGTTCTTGACGATGTCACATAACTGTTGGTCGAGGAATTGGTGTCTCTTTTGATTGGTGCAGAGGTTGGACGCGAAGGGCGGTGTTTCTGTTTAAGACGAAAAAAAAACTCACTTCAATCATTAATTTCTTGGGTTGTACCAACATGATCAAGAATCCCTCGAGAAATAAAGAACAAAGCTATCGCCGCCATGTTGGATGACTGAACAAGAGAAACTAATGAGGAAAGCTTTGTTATCGTCATCCAACATGGAGGTAATGACGTAACATGCACACCAAGAATTCATCATTTTCACCCATTCCCATGAGATTCAAAAGATAAAAGACCGGCGGCCATGTTGGAGGAATGAACAACCTAATAGATCCTAATGAAAAATCCTTTTATTTGTTAAAGTTCCTCCAAGGTAGCCGCTGTGACGTAACCTGAAAACGAAGAACATTGACGCTGACTCGATCTAGTTTAGATGATAAGCAGATGGGATCAGGAAAACCCTACCATTCCATAATCTGCGAGTAGAGTCTCTGTATCGTCTTTAATTTCTAATTTTCGGTGAGGGGGAGTGRTGAGGGGGTGGTGGTAAGGAGRAGTRGTGAGGGGGTCGCAGGGGAAGATATTGAAGKCTCTGCTCGCAGKRTTGAAAAAGTTKCKGGTCGCGATACAAGGTTTTTAGTGTTACACTAACCAGCAACTTTTGTTTTGGTGACAAATTGGATTCCTTCGCSGCAGTCTTGGCCTGTGACAGTACAGCCATAGTGGGCCTAGTTATGTCCCTACAGTGACATCCTTCCACGTGACATGAACAACGAGTTGCTTCTTTTACTTTAGYAATAACGTTCGTAGGGCTCATTGGCTTGTTACTCATGGGACTCWTACTAAAGGGTTTCGTCTGAGCGGTCTGAAAATGTCCCATCGTTTCTTGTCCATTCTGAATAACGACCCCTGCTTGTTTGTCGTGTTTCTGTCCCGTAGAACACAAAGTATCTTCGTTAATGTCTAAACGATTGCAATTCTGCTCGACGTCCGCTTTGCTTTCTTGCAGAGCATGATTTTCCGTTTCCGTTTTCCGTCTCTTGAGATCAACTTCCGGTTCATCATTTACTTCCGCTTCCGGTACACTAAGATTTGGTTCATCAACAACAATTTCCTTCGTAAGTTCTTTCTCATTTGGTTTTAAGAGACGCGTTGGCTTATCCAATATTTCGTCACTGAACGATACAGTCTTCTTAACACTAGCAAGAACTTCAGGSGAAAGACAACGGACGTCACCTTGAGATAGAGACTTTCTGATCGACGGTTTTCTAGGATTGGAGGGGAGGGGAGGRTGGGGAGCTTCTTCGTCATGTTCTTCACTAACTGTTTTTCTTTGTCTTGAGTGCATAGAAGCTGAGTTCGCTCTCTTTTTCTTTTTTAATGAGCTGCTCTTTGGTCGTGGAGGYTTGCCTAACACCTGAAACGATAACAGTCGGTAATCATGTATTTTATTTGAAAAACAAACCCATGATTATTCTAAAATCTTGCTTAGCTATAGCCTCCGTGGCAGCCGATCTTTTCCATTGTTTTAAGAAATGCAATTAAAAAGACAATGGGTAAGGAACTAGCAACGCCATTTTGTGTAAACAAGCTTGATGGTAGCTCTAACTCTCGCAGTTTTTACAGCCCCTATAAAATCTCCCGTTTTTATGTTCTATTTGAAGAAGCGGCACTAATACTACTATTTTTGCTAAGAAAAAGAAGAAACCGCTGATAAGAAAAGTTTTAACGGAGTACAAAAAGTACAGTTCCCATCGTGCTTTATTACATGAAATGACGTCACTACATATTGCCTATTGAACACATTGCGCGTGCGCGTTTCCCACTATACAGCAATGATTTGCGATGAACACTTACCTCATCTTTTTGGGGAGAATTCCCCTGATCCATATCTTTTCCAGAAATAGCTTTATCGCTGAGCCTCCGAGTCACAGACAAGTCTTTGGCGTCCATTAACTCTACTGTTTTCCCCTTTAACACAAAGCCGCCTTCCTCTTGACCACGCCTTCTTGTCTTAGCCGACTGAACWCKTCTTTTAGGACTGTGAAATCGACCCATGGCCACGTGAGTCGTTTCTTGGTTCGGTTWTARTCGAGGGACGTAAGGTTCTTCGACCCACATTGGATCCGTTRTASAAATATCMTCAGTAGTCAGCCCAGGTTGTCGAAGTGCAATATTCAATACACTAACACCAGAAGTGTCTTCATTGGGAGTAGTCACGTGACGAGCTGATGAGGGCGTGGTCATAACACTTCTCAAATCAATATTATCGATTTTTTCTTGGTTTTGGTTCATTTTGCTGAACATTTCGGTCAGTTCTTCTTGTTCTTGAGTTTGTTTCTTTTCAAGCTCGTCTAAGAAAGCCTCGCTCTTTTCGACATAATCGGCAGAAAGCGCGCGGTCGCTGGCACGTGATATGTTGTSGTCTCTGATATCGTATAAAGTGGCCGTTGGAAGTTTACAAGATACTTTAGACGATGAGAAAGTCTCACTCGTTTTCACGTGATCGGAAGGGGCGAGGTCATCGTCACGTGGTACTTCCGGTGTATACCGAGCTGTCTCGTCGTCACTAAAGTCGTATGTTTCTGCTGTTGGGATTTGGAAAATCAGAGGTTTAGATGACAACTTCGATGGCACGTGGTCTGTCTTGTCAGTCAATTGTTGCAGTTCACCCTCCACAAATTCATCGTCATCTTCTGAAAAGTCATCGGAAGACGATTCCCCAGCAGAAATATCATGTCTCTTCTCCTCTAAAATTTCCGGAGGTATATCGGGTGATACTCGAGGTGGAGTCGGAAGCCCGAAACCTGCCGATAAGTCATCGTCCTGCCCATAAGCTGAATATTTCCGTAGYCCTTCCATCTTGACTTGTTCTTCTCTCTGGACGTGATTAGGATCCAAATGCCAGAGACAACCTGATAAATAAAACTTATTGTATTAAGGTCCATGGTCAACCGGCATTCAATGCGGTCGTATTTTATATTTTTTCATGCTCAAAAATGAGCTGACGTTGAATATTCATTCGGTTTTAAGATCAAATCGTATATTTCCAGTCAAAGAGCATAAAGAGATAACTTACAAAGGGTAAGGTTTTGCATATATTACGATGTATGGTTATAAAAAAGTCTTTAACAAAGGCCTTTAATGGTGGTTGTGTAAAAAGATAAAATTTACATGTAACAACGTAAAAAATAGCTGAAATAACTTACCAACGTTTCGGACGTTAATCCTTCGCCGGAGTAAAAAAAAAGAAAAGAAAAGAAAAAAGGAAGTTGTTTCACCTATTTTTTACTGTGTTAAATTTATCTTTTACACAACTGTTTCTTTATAAACACCGACGCAGCTCACACTAGTTTACCGCTAGTTCCCACCATTTTAATGGGGATGCCATGACCAAGGCCATTTAAAAGTGCTGTACAAATACCTTTACTCGGTTGTTGACTTGAAACAATACAAGATGCACTATTTGGTCGAGCTTTGGGATTCAAATTCAGGCCCTTCACTATGAAAATAAAGATATACTCATTGTTATAGGTACTAAGCATATTTTAGCAAACTGTGTACTTGATTGGTTAATAGACCCCTTCCGTTTTTACGTCACATACACGTGATTTGCAATGAATTGTGGGATCATTTCTGGAGAAAACAAAAGAAATTCACCATGTTTTGTTCCAAACATATCCTACAATGCATCGCGTATACGGTATATGACTGTAAAAGCTTAAGAGGTCTATTGACCAGGGGCTGATCCAGGTGATTCACCAGTAGAGGATGACGTCACATATAGAAATTCCTGGACTTGCCACAAGAGGCAATGTTTGTTGGTTAGGGGACTAGGAGTGCCTTGCATACAATCTTTTCAATCCCATGCTTTTCAAGGGTTTCTAGGAGTAGCACAGACCCTCTATAATTACTGCATATGTATTGAAATGATTGCAATCATACCAGCAATAAAGGCCTTCTTTCCTTTACTCGTAGGAGCCTCAGTCTCATGAGGAGGTGCATTGTTGACATGATGAACTGTTGCTGAATAAGGACGTCTCTTTTGCTTTTGGACTGGTTTATTCTTGTTCTTTTGTGCTTTTACAAGATCAGAGATGGGCACATTTTGGTAACTAAGTTGAAAAAATATTAGTTAATACTACTGTTGAAGAGATTTGAGTGAATGTTTTGATTATAGCCTTTGCAAAATTTAATAACTGAGCCTTGTTATATGAAAGAYCCATGATATTCCAATCAGTGTTACCATTTTCATTTGAATGCACTTGATTGACAATACTAAGTTCACCTGGTAAATATGTCTATTATTGTGAATCTACCTGGCTGTTTCCTGGCTTTCCTGGGATAGCTGTGGAGGGTTGGCGTCCATATTAATAAAGCTACTATGGTGTTTACTTCTGTAATTACATGAGCAATCAACTTCTCTTTCCTTGGGACCACCACCCAGCCTATARTACGTTTTCTTGACATTTTGAAGTCTGGCTATTGACTTATCAGTGTTCTTCAGCCAAGCCTGTGGATAAAAATGGAAAAATACACTTTTTGAAATGGCAATCATTGTAGCAGGTGTTGAAAAACAAATTAATGTGTAACAATGTTGGGAACATATGGGGCCAGTCAGCACCGATCGAAACGGGTCTCATGATAGGTTGAGAAAACAATGGACAAACAATAGATAAGTCTTCCAACAATAAAACAAAACCTAACCTAACAATAGAGCTGTTGTACTTAAGGACCAATCAAAAAGCAGGTTCCAATCGATACTGCATTACTGAGAAAATTATATGTATTTATTATCTATAGTGTGAGTAAGCAAACAGCAAGCTTAGTAGACTGTTGCTTTGTCATGAGTGCTCTCAGGATTTTACCATGAATATCAGGTTTATTGAGKCAAAGTGGTTGTTACCATGTAAGAAGAGGGGGCTTGTTGTTTTTTTTGTAACTTATCCTTCTATGAAGAAAGGYGACTACCTCTGCTCACAGACTAGATTGAGGTTGAKTTTGCAATTATAGCAAGACAAACAYATATTGACAGAGGTATCTTAAATTTGTCCTTTGACATTTTCATGGTTATGAATGCATTCTTGTATAGTAAGCTTATTAAAATTATCATATCCATAAAATCAATTTTTTTCATATTAAATTTAGCTATTTAGTGTTTGTATTAGTAACAGGCTTAAAATACTTCAATGATATATCATTTTTCACTGTTTTAACTTACGATACAACTTAAAGATATGCCAAACTATTCAAAGATGGCCGACCAGCACGTACGGCAACGTCAAAGGTGTCAAAGTCTATAAAAGCCATTGGACAATAACAACAGCTGTTCATTATTGGCCGTACTAAGTYTATATACGAAAAATACTATTCTAAAAGTAAGAGAAATGTTTTTAATGCAATTACTTCCTAGCTTTTCTTACCTTGGACGCTGTAAGTTCAACTTCATCGGGTAGTTCATCTTCGCGCGCCTTTTCCTCCATGGATTTCAACGTATAACTTAATTTTAAAAGCTTGTTAGAAGTAGCGGTACAACTTTCCTCTCATGGTAGAACTTTTTCTCGTGTAAGCAAAAAAATAATAACAGTTGTTAAGTGGAAAAGATTGTAAACAAAGTTTCTCCGCAACACGAAAATTTGAATTCGGACGCCATTTTGSTTTGCCTCGTTTTGAAGAATGATACAGGAAGCCCAAATAGGAATATTTGTAACGCGCGTGGCACCAACCGAAGATACTCATTTCTTACTGACTCAAAATTTTCATTTTCTTCATTCAACTAATTTCCTTTTCTTATAGTTAGTTTGTGACCAACCTTCTAGTTAAACTCCAAACAATTCTTTAGATTGTACACAAATTTAGGATTATAGGCCAGGCTGGGATATCTATTTTGGTGTCTTATTCCTGACTGCGTCAACTCACTTATGAAAATGCACAGGATTCTTTGACGGTTTTTACCGTTTCTTATGTTATAATTTCATTATCTGAACTGAAGTGAMAAAATGAGAAAAAGGAAACAATGCATGCATCAGTACTTTCGAAGCCAACAATGTGTCCGCCATTTTGACATTGAAAAGTGGGAGTCTAAACACTAAATTATAACTCCTAAAGGAAYTAAAAGCTTCTTAGCTAATACCAAGTTAATAAAATGCAATATAATGATAGATTAGTTGACTAGAGCAACTACGAAATGTTCTCAACATTGTACAACATTGATTCTTCAAGATGGCGGACGCATKGTTCTCCTAAAGTACTGATGYATAAAATGCAAAAGCGCACTAGTCATCTTAAAAATTGTGACTGCAAACATACAGAAATTCCTTTGGCCTGCTTTGTAGACTTATATTGTATTATTAAGCAGGACGACTCCATTTTCTGGGAGCTGTCAATTCATACCCGGAGATGCTAACGTACCCACAAAAGAAATAATGAATTATAAGTCTGAAGAACATTGAATTTATTAAGCCTGCGAGCTTATTAAGTGCTAACCGCCGATGTTATGTAACTATAATGATTTCTTCTGATCATGCAAACACTTCAGTCAGGTCCTTTCAGGAGGTGAATGAGAAAAAGTCTCGTGAGGGCTGAACTGGACGCTTTTGTGGACTGCCTATATTTAGTATTTCTGATGGCGTCCTCGCATTTAGTGACCAAGTTCATTTTTTGTTAGGTTTAATAGAGATTGGTAATATAAGTCCAGGCAGGAACCAGTCATTTTAAATGCTGTAATTTAATTGCGGTTTTGTACGTTGAACAAAATGCCACGCGGGGCGGAGAAAATCGACACAAATATATTAACAAAAACTTTATATATGAAGTCTTTGTGAGGTTTTGGATTTCTATCTCCGCCCTTGGTCAACTTTGCCCAGTAAACACACGCACACACACAAAAATAATWAAATTAAACAATTCGTTGGTGTTTTAYAAAGAAAGTATGTTGTTTTGAGGCACTTAAAAAAACATTAAATTATTATTTCTTTCCTTCATGTCGTTACCAATCRTTTTCAGCGCTAGTCAACTGATAGAAAAGTCTAGAACTGTGTTTCTTTTGCTGAAGCTTTCGTGTAAGAAACCAAAAGAATTGYTTAATCACGTGCGGCACGCGGGGCTTCCGTCACCACGGAGCAGGTAAAAAAGAAATCCGTAGAAGAATAAATGAAAGTTTCTCAGCATGAGAAGTCAAACTTCAAAGCAAACGTAATTTGTTTTCACCGAGGAATCGCTTTGAAAACAAAACATTAAAAGCCTCAGGCAAAAAAATATAAAATTTTCTATCGGAAACTCTATTTCCCTTCGTTTTGTTACAGTACTTACAGCGTTTTGACATTTTTTTGTTTAGATTAATAGCGATTTGGTATGTCACGGAATACTGGTTACTAACCAAAATTAGACGTAAATTGCTACCCGTTCATGCTTGGAGATTAACCATCCGCGGTTGAACGGGTTTAAAATGTATACATTATCGTTCCCTATGGCTTATATGACGCAGAGAAACCTACTACAAATTGACATCGTTAAACTGTCATGTTATAGTCTTGCCGAAGTCTCTTTAAGCAAGCTGCGTGGCTGAGAGCGAGTGACATATTTCTGACAACTTTGATTTTGTTTGGRTTCGCAAGCTCGATGATATCACTGRATGAAAAGTCGTTCGTTTTACAGGGTTCAMTCAGTCGATCTAGGGAAGCACAGGCCATGCATGGCTTGTTGAAAAGCTTAAATACTCAAAGACAATTGAATATCCTCTGCGATGTGGTGCTGGTAGTGCAAAGACAAGAGTTTCCCGCTCATAAAGGAATACTCGCCGCTAACAGCAACTACTTCATGGCCATGTTTACAACAAACATGATGGAGAGGGAACAAGCRCGRGTCRTMTTRAAAGAAATCGTACCATCTGCAGTKGGAGCSATTCTCGACTTTATATACACTGGGAATTTGAAAATAAATCAAGAAAATGTTCGAGATTTACTCGAAGCATCAAATTTTCTCCTGGTATCATCAATAAAAGATGCTTGTTGTCAATTCTTGGAAAACATTCTGGATGTGGAAAATTGCTTGACAATTATTTCCATAGCAGATGAATTTTACTGCGAAAGCCTTCACAGAAAGGCAACATCTTTTTTATATAAAGAATTTCTAAGCGTTACAAARCAYGACGAYTTTATGAAACTYGCTGTAGAAGATGTGAGCGAGTTGTTTTCAAGCGATGAAATCCAGATTGACAAYGARTAYCAACTCTTTGAGGCTATGACCAATTGGCTTCAGTACGACCTKCCRMGGAGAAGGAAGTTCCTTCTTCGACTTATGCCACTTGTTMGGCTGCATTTTGTAAAGCCAGGATTGATTGAGGAAAGTCTAGTGTACAAAGAAATAGCAAAAGAGCTGGACAAAGATGAGCTTTGCTGGAAAACCCAGGTATCGGAATGTCCCAGGAAATCGTACAGTAATATTTCTGTGGTGGTTGTGGCCGGCGGCGTCAACAAGCACAGGATCCTGGACACAGTATTGTGTTACATTCCAAGTGCAAATAAATGGTGCTCGCTTGCAAATCTGAATGTTCCAAGATGGAAGTAAGTAGAAACTATAAAAACAAGAGTTGTTTTCAAGAGAGCTCAGAATATTCCTGGACGCGTGATTATAATTGCGAATTTGTTTGCGGCAAGATGTGCGAAGTATTGCTTGCCAGAAGAAGCGTGAAGCGCAACACATGTACATTTTTAGAAATTCCTATTCTAAAAAATTTAGACTCAATTAAAAAGATAAAAAAGACCAATAACGTGTTAAAAGATCTTGATTTTAAATTCAAGTTTAAAATTAGATGATATTTTCAAATTCAAACATGGAACCTTCCAGAAAGTCATTTCTATGAGGACAGTAGAAGACTTCAGTGTATATAATTACTTGTACAGACTGCAACAAAAGAATCACTTCATTGTCATTGTTCAAATAAATTGCCCAGTTACAATTAGTAAACCCCACATTGCGTAATAACGCTTTAAAAGAGCAAAGTCGAGTTCTTTAATAATTGATATATTTTTTTCTTATCAATTAGTAGTGTTTACATAGTCCACCTGCGGAAATTATAGTGAAATTACCACCTCACAGCTTGCAAGCTTGTATTTGATTGATTATATTTTGTGTTTGTAAGACACAAAAATTGGTATTGTTTTTAAGCCTAAGGATTCATTTTCTGGAAGCTTAGAAATCAGTTTGCTTTTCGGGAACTTTTTTACATGTATATCAAACAATGATAGTAACAGCACTTATACGTACTTATCGGGATTCAGTAGTTGTTTTAAAAATGATGTCAGCAAATTAATCTCTTTTGCTTTGTACTAACTATAGCAGCGTCTCAATTCAAAATATGTTTGTTTTTTTCGTATGTCCGGAGGGATTCCCTTGAATAATATGCAGGACCGTGCATAGGAGTACTCGACGGACCCCTTAGGCTCTAAAATGCAACCCTTGCGACCCTTTAAGGATCTCTGGCTTAGATTTGTCGTTTTAAGAAAGCACTAAACAAAAGCACAAAACGATTGTCATGTTATATAAGAATTATTCCTAACTTTATATCTTAAATTCCACAGTCTTAATGTCATCGCCGGCAAAACTGGCGTCCTTGCAATAGGAGGACTACAAGAGGTTTCAACCATTCAACAAGAACTGCCATATATGGAAAAATACGACATCAAAACCAACCAATGGGAAGTCTTCAAGACCCCTAAACTCCCGTTCCCTGTCGACAGCAGCTCATTCAGAGCGCTGGGGMTTGGGCACGAGGTTCTGTTTATAAGAGATTCAACAGGTGACCTAGAGCCGAGTKTTGTGAGTCTACAAGAACTTAGAGGAGAAAGGAGATACGTTTCCMTGGCACCACTTCCTGTTCAACGTTCGGGGATCTGTTGCGTAGCAACTCAAGGTCACGTGTTTGTTATGGGAGGCTCGACACAGTCCCATCATGCACCACTTGGTGATACCGCAGTACAGAGATATAGCAGAACTAAAGGTAAACAAATATTGACATACAAAAGAGTGTCCGCTAAAACCGACCTCGTTCCCAGCTGATTTTCCCTTCGTAACGAAGCGAAAATAACCTGGGAACTGCAACAGCATTCAACAGCATTACAACAAGAAACTTGTCGATAGACAAGCTCGTCAAGAAAATATAATATTCCTTGTTAACCCAAACAACCGTTTTATTCTAGACTTATGGACAACTGAGCCTCCAATGACACAACCAAGATGTCATGCCTCGGCGACAGTCCTCGACGACAAGATCTACGTCATAGGCGGTTGCCATGGTCACAGAGTACTAGCAACCGCAGAGGTTTACGACCCAAGAGTCAAGCAATGGTCCTCTATTGCATCACTAGCTATACCTCGAATGAACGCCGGCATCGCTGTGCACGATGGGAAGGTTTGGGTTTTTGGTGGAGTAGACGGTCCACGGGGTTCTGTTTTAGATTCTGTGGAGTGCTATAACCCAAAACWCGATAAATGGATATGTTGTACATCAATGCCGGAGAAAAGACGAGACTTTATGTGCTGTTCGACCGACATTGCTTTCAGAACTGTAGCTTCGATAATCGAGGAATAAAAGTTTTCAAGGATTTTTAAAAAGCCATTCAAGATAAATTTTACTTCTTACAGGAGAATTTCAGTTTGTACAAATTTTGTATATATGTTTTGCTTTTATAAGCTTTTGTAAAAAAGCACATCAGAAAATACAGGATATGAAAAACTATTTGTAAGGATATTACTGAAAAAAATACTGCTTGAAACATAAGACGAACAGGAATGAAACGGCTATATATATGTATATATGTCGGATAGAACATTTAACATGCCAAATTTGTTACTGACAGGTGTCTGTTAGAGTTCCAGAGCGTCACTATTTCTTGTGGGTATAAAGGAGTGTGAATTACACAAGGAAATTAAACTCCTTTCAAATGGAATTGCTTTCAAACTTCTTTAGACGATTGGATGTTAAACTTTGTTAGACTATTAGATGTTTGGAAGATATGATGGAATAAAATGAAATCCATGCTCAAACAAGCCCTGATCCTGATATCATCACAAGTCTCTCAGAATACAACACAGTTGTGCTGCTCATAGTTGCGTCTTGAAATTTCGTTTTCCGACGGATTTCTTTCTTCCAAATTTCTTGACGTTCTTTTCTTTGGTTGTTTTCAATTTCTTTCCAATCTTTTCCTTTTTGGTCGATTTCTGTTTTTTCAATTTTTCGTTCTTCATTTCCCCTTTTTTCTTTTTCTTTTTTTCACTGTCGTGGTCGCCTTGGTCTTTTGCTTTGCGTTTCGTCCCTCGCTTTGTTAGTATTTCTGATGGCGTCCTCGCATTTAGTGACCAAGTTCATTTTTTGTTAGGTTTAATAGAGATTGGTAATATAAGTCCAGGCAGGAACCAGTCATTTTAAATGCTGTAATTTAATTGCGGTTTTGTACGTTGAACAAAATGCCACGCGGGGCGGAGAAAATCGACACAAATATATTAACAAAAACTTTATATATGAAGTCTTTGTGAGGTTTTGGATTTCTATCTCCGCCCTTGGTCAACTTTGCCCAGTAAACACACGCACACACACAAAAATAATWAAATTAAACAATTCGTTGGTGTTTTAYAAAGAAAGTATGTTGTTTTGAGGCACTTAAAAAAACATTAAATTATTATTTCTTTCCTTCATGTCGTTACCAATCRTTTTCAGCGCTAGTCAACTGATAGAAAAGTCTAGAACTGTGTTTCTTTTGCTGAAGCTTTCGTGTAAGAAACCAAAAGAATTGYTTAATCACGTGCGGCACGCGGGGCTTCCGTCACCACGGAGCAGGTAAAAAAGAAATCCGTAGAAGAATAAATGAAAGTTTCTCAGCATGAGAAGTCAAACTTCAAAGCAAACGTAATTTGTTTTCACCGAGGAATCGCTTTGAAAACAAAACATTAAAAGCCTCAGGCAAAAAAATATAAAATTTTCTATCGGAAACTCTATTTCCCTTCGTTTTGTTACAGTACTTACAGCGTTTTGACATTTTTTTGTTTAGATTAATAGCGATTTGGTATGTCACGGAATACTGGTTACTAACCAAAATTAGACGTAAATTGCTACCCGTTCATGCTTGGAGATTAACCATCCGCGGTTGAACGGGTTTAAAATGTATACATTATCGTTCCCTATGGCTTATATGACGCAGAGAAACCTACTACAAATTGACATCGTTAAACTGTCATGTTATAGTCTTGCCGAAGTCTCTTTAAGCAAGCTGCGTGGCTGAGAGCGAGTGACATATTTCTGACAACTTTGATTTTGTTTGGRTTCGCAAGCTCGATGATATCACTGRATGAAAAGTCGTTCGTTTTACAGGGTTCAMTCAGTCGATCTAGGGAAGCACAGGCCATGCATGGCTTGTTGAAAAGCTTAAATACTCAAAGACAATTGAATATCCTCTGCGATGTGGTGCTGGTAGTGCAAAGACAAGAGTTTCCCGCTCATAAAGGAATACTCGCCGCTAACAGCAACTACTTCATGGCCATGTTTACAACAAACATGATGGAGAGGGAACAAGCRCGRGTCRTMTTRAAAGAAATCGTACCATCTGCAGTKGGAGCSATTCTCGACTTTATATACACTGGGAATTTGAAAATAAATCAAGAAAATGTTCGAGATTTACTCGAAGCATCAAATTTTCTCCTGGTATCATCAATAAAAGATGCTTGTTGTCAATTCTTGGAAAACATTCTGGATGTGGAAAATTGCTTGACAATTATTTCCATAGCAGATGAATTTTACTGCGAAAGCCTTCACAGAAAGGCAACATCTTTTTTATATAAAGAATTTCTAAGCGTTACAAARCAYGACGAYTTTATGAAACTYGCTGTAGAAGATGTGAGCGAGTTGTTTTCAAGCGATGAAATCCAGATTGACAAYGARTAYCAACTCTTTGAGGCTATGACCAATTGGCTTCAGTACGACCTKCCRMGGAGAAGGAAGTTCCTTCTTCGACTTATGCCACTTGTTMGGCTGCATTTTGTAAAGCCAGGATTGATTGAGGAAAGTCTAGTGTACAAAGAAATAGCAAAAGAGCTGGACAAAGATGAGCTTTGCTGGAAAACCCAGGTATCGGAATGTCCCAGGAAATCGTACAGTAATATTTCTGTGGTGGTTGTGGCCGGCGGCGTCAACAAGTACAGAATCCTGGACACAGTATTGTGTTACATTCCAAGTGCAAATAAATGGTGCTCGCTTGCAAATCTGAATGTTCCAAGATGGAAGTAAGTAGAAACTATAAAAACAAGAGTTGTTTTCAAGAGAGCTCAGAATATTCCTGGACGCGTGATTATAATTGCGAATTTGTTTGCGGCAAGATGTGCGAAGTATTGCTTGCCAGAAGAAGCGTGAAGCGCAACACATGTACATTTTTAGAAATTCCTATTCTAAAAAATTTAGACTCAATTAAAAAGATAAAAAAGACCAATAACGTGTTAAAAGATCTTGATTTTAAATTCAAGTTTAAAATTAGATGATATTTTCAAATTCAAACATGGAACCTTCCAGAAAGTCATTTCTATGAGGACAGTAGAAGACTTCAGTGTATATAATTACTTGTACAGACTGCAACAAAAGAATCACTTCATTGTCATTGTTCAAATAAATTGCCCAGTTACAATTAGTAAACCCCACATTGCGTAATAACGCTTTAAAAGAGCAAAGTCGAGTTCTTTAATAATTGATATATTTTTTTCTTATCAATTAGTAGTGTTTACATAGTCCACCTGCGGAAATTATAGTGAAATTACCACCTCACAGCTTGCAAGCTTGTATTTGATTGATTATATTTTGTGTTTGTAAGACACAAAAATTGGTATTGTTTTTAAGCCTAAGGATTCATTTTCTGGAAGCTTAGAAATCAGTTTGCTTTTCGGGAACTTTTTTACATGTATATCAAACAATGATAGTAACAGCACTTATACGTACTTATCGGGATTCAGTAGTTGTTTTAAAAATGATGTCAGCAAATTAATCTCTTTTGCTTTGTACTAACTATAGCAGCGTCTCAATTCAAAATATGTTTGTTTTTTTCGTATGTCCGGAGGGATTCCCTTGAATAATATGCAGGACCGTGCATAGGAGTACTCGACGGACCCCTTAGGCTCTAAAATGCAACCCTTGCGACCCTTTAAGGATCTCTGGCTTAGATTTGTCGTTTTAAGAAAGCACTAAACAAAAGCACAAAACGATTGTCATGTTATATAAGAATTATTCCTAACTTTATATCTTAAATTCCACAGTCTTAATGTCATCGCCGGCAAAACTGGCGTCCTTGCAATAGGAGGACTACAAGAGGTTTCAACCATTCAACAAGAACTGCCATATATGGAAAAATACGACATCAAAACCAACCAATGGGAAGTCTTCAAGACCCCTAAACTCCCGTTCCCTGTCGACAGCAGCTCATTCAGAGCGCTGGGGMTTGGGCACGAGGTTCTGTTTATAAGAGATTCAACAGGTGACCTAGAGCCGAGTKTTGTGAGTCTACAAGAACTTAGAGGAGAAAGGAGATACGTTTCCMTGGCACCACTTCCTGTTCAACGTTCGGGGATCTGTTGCGTAGCAACTCAAGGTCACGTGTTTGTTATGGGAGGCTCGACACAGTCCCATCATGCACCACTTGGTGATACCGCAGTACAGAGATATAGCAGAACTAAAGGTAAACAAATATTGACATACAAAAGAGTGTCCGCTAAAACCGACCTCGTTCCCAGCTGATTTTCCCTTCGTAACGAAGCGAAAATAACCTGGGAACTGCAACAGCATTCAACAGCATTACAACAAGAAACTTGTCGATAGACAAGCTCGTCAAGAAAATATAATATTCCTTGTTAACCCAAACAACCGTTTTATTCTAGACTTATGGACAACTGAGCCTCCAATGACACAACCAAGATGTCATGCCTCGGCGACAGTCCTCGACGACAAGATCTACGTCATAGGCGGTTGCCATGGTCACAGAGTACTAGCAACCGCAGAGGTTTACGACCCAAGAGTCAAGCAATGGTCCTCTATTGCATCACTAGCTATACCTCGAATGAACGCCGGCATCGCTGTGCACGATGGGAAGGTTTGGGTTTTTGGTGGAGTAGACGGTCCACGGGGTTCTGTTTTAGATTCTGTGGAGTGCTATAACCCAAAACWCGATAAATGGATATGTTGTACATCAATGCCGGAGAAAAGACGAGACTTTATGTGCTGTTCGACCGACATTGCTTTCAGAACTGTAGCTTCGATAATCGAGGAATAAAAGTTTTCAAGGATTTTTAAAAAGCCATTCAAGATAAATTTTACTTCTTACAGGAGAATTTCAGTTTGTACAAATTTTGTATATATGTTTTGCTTTTATAAGCTTTTGTAAAAAAGCACATCAGAAAATACAGGATATGAAAAACTATTTGTAAGGATATTACTGAAAAAAATACTGCTTGAAACATAAGACGAACAGGAATGAAACGGCTATATATATGTATATATGTCGGATAGAACATTTAACATGCCAAATTTGTTACTGACAGGTGTCTGTTAGAGTTCCAGAGCGTCACTATTTCTTGTGGGTATAAAGGAGTGTGAATTACACAAGGAAATTAAACTCCTTTCAAATGGAATTGCTTTCAAACTTCTTTAGACGATTGGATGTTAAACTTTGTTAGACTATTAGATGTTTGGAAGATATGATGGAATAAAATGAAWTCCATGCTCAAACAAGCCCTGATCCTGATATCATCACAAGTCTCTCAGAATACAACACAGTTGTGCTGCTCATAGTTGCGTCTTGAAATTTCGTTTTCCGACGGATTTCTTTCTTCCAAATTTCTTGACGTTCTTTTCTTTGGTTGTTTTCAATTTCTTTCCAATCTTTTCCTTTTTGGTCGATTTCTGTTTTTTCAATTTTTCGTTCTTCATTTCCCCTTTTTTCTTTTTCTTTTTTTCACTRTCGTGGTCGCCTTGGTCTTTTGCTTTGCGTTTYGTCCCTCGCTTTGTYAGTGGTTTTGATGCTTTTATTTTATTGGTTAATATTAGGTCTGATAAGTAAGATAACCATTTGATTAGCTGAGGAATCCACCATAGSAATAGTGAAGGGAGGGGAGGGAGGGGGAAAGCTTTGCATACTTTATTCCTTACTCGCATGTTTGTTGTTGTTGTTGTTGTTATTGTTGTTGTTGTATATTTTTTATTTTTAAAGATTTTATAATTTTAACAACAAAAAGTGAAAACTAAAGTGAGCTAAAAAACAGCAGCAAACAAAAAAAGCATTCGCAGAGGGGTAGGGGTAGGGCTAACCTGTGTCTGGTTCTGCACCAACTTCTTGTCGGTACCAGTATGCATCATCTTCTTCTTCGACCTTGTCGTTCTCACTTGTCGGTGAATCTACATYTTCTACGAAAGGAATATATATATCAGTCAAATGGAGCTAAGAAAAAGGAAAACAAAAAAATAGAACTGGTCCCTTTCCCTTTTGCGTCATGTTTTGCYGAACTGCACCATGGTACAGATAAAATTCTCAAGATGGCGAACTCTTTAACAAAACTTAGGACGACAAAGTTTYAATGCAAAATTCGCGTTCCCGATGTCAAGAATAGACATGATGAACTTTCAATATAATGGTTGTGCATTTGAGTAATCTCAAATAACAGACAGAGGAATACGTTATGCTTTTCGACCGGCAACATGGCTTCTGCTTGTATTTGTCAATCCCATGGTGCATCACGTTGAACATCTTATGACGTCATAAGGAGAAAAGTCCACCAAAGGAAGATAGTACTTGTGGTACTATTAAATAAAAACTTTACCTTCATCGTTTTCTATTTTGTTTTTCTTTTGTCCTGCAATACTGCGTTCTCTGAAAGTGTAATGGAAACATCGATATGCGTGTATCTAGACTGTTTTGATAAGTTGACATTTTCCGTCTCGCTGTTTATGGGTCAGTAGCGTTGGCCTACTGTATATTCAAATAACGCTGCGAACTTTGACCTCTAAAATGCACTCTACCTGTTCAATTCCTTCTCCTTTGCTTTCCTTTTAACATTAGCTTCTTGAATTTTCTTTCTCATTTCTTTTAGCTTCCTGGAATCAAAAGAATTCAAACCATAAAAATAATACATAGCCTGTGTACATCCGTTTCTCACCCCTCCAAAAAAATCGGGGATTTTTTGAGGGGTGAGAAACGGATGTACACAGGCTAATAATACACGCAATTTTATATTGCAGTTAAGACGCTGATAGCCAAAACGGCAAGCACCATTGCTTTTCAACATATTTCAAGTTATAGGTTTGAGTATATAATGTCAGTTGCTTATCTTTTCCTTTCTTTTAAGAAATCAAAACAAGCGGAACGAAAATGACCATTACTTGACGCGCAATGTTCAAGTGAAAATCTATTAAATTTTATTCATACCTTTTCTTTTCTCTTTTCTCTTTAAGTGCTCTGATTTCAGCTTCACTTTTTGTGACTTGATTAAAACAAAGACAAAAGTTTAGTAGAAGATGGAGCAAGTAAAGGCAACAGAATTTAAAACAAAGAAAAGAATTAAAGCAGCCGAACGAAAAGATAAAAGACTTACAGCAGAAGACAGAATGAAAGGAAAGTGAAGAGACGAGAAAGGGGAATATTGACAAAGCGGAAATATTAGAAGAATAGAATGAAAGACTCTGAGACCTTGTCCTAAAAACTTACTAAATTCATGGTAAAGTACTTCACCACCACAAAGRCCATCTTCAATCTTAATAAGCTGAATAACAAGACGAGGCCCCATCTGAAAACACACGAAAGAGATAAGCTTTACAAAAAGCAGAAAACTTCACAAGTGATAATGAATACTGCAGTGGTCACAACACAGAACACAAATCAGTTTTTAATTGCAGCACACCAAGTTATTGTACTGAATGCCAAAGAGTAAAATATTAAGTAATGCCCCGAGTAAGAACTAGGGAAGCAAACGGCACAGGAATGCAAGAATGTGCTAATTGCGCATTGTATAATCCATCCATCCCATTGGWTAAAACATGAAAATCTGCTATAATTTCACAAGTTAGCAAATTTTCTAATATTTTATTTAATGTCTGTTTTCGCTTTCATGAAAGCTTTCTTTAGCTTCGATATTAAGGCAATTCTACGTGGGGAACATAGCAAATTAGAAGCATCTTTTGGCTATTGTTTTGAGTGCTTATGATTGGATAAGAGCTTTTAATACAAAAGAAACTTTGTTCAAAAATAGAGTTTATCCACATTTTATTTCAAAAATGTGTTACCCACAGATGGATACATAATCAGTGTGAAAACCAAGACATTCGTACATGGGGAACTTGCTATGCCGCAGAACAATAGAGAGTTCCCTAGTTCTTTAGCGCATTGTTACTTAA